TAGATAAGACTCTTGAGTCCTTTAAAGAACATTTTTGGTTTCCGCGAATGAGAAATTTTGTTGCTAAATATATGAAGTATTGTTTATTGTGTGCTGTAAAAAAGACGCGTTCAGGACCTTTGCAGGGATTTTTGCAACCTTTCCCAAAGCCCGAAGAACCGCTTCATACTGTTCACGCCGATTGTCTAGGGCCGTTAACGACATCATGTAATGATAAGCATGTTCTAGTCTTGGTAGACGCGTTCACAAAATTTTGTTTATTGCTGCCTCTAAAAACCGTAACCTCAAAAGAGACGAAAGATCAGTTAAAGAATCTTTTTTCGTTGTTTGGTGAGCCAAAACGAATAATTACGGATGCTGGTCGTAATTTTCAAAATATGGAGATTGCACCTTACCTAGACGACTGGGGAGTGAGTTATCATTTTGTTACACCCGATGTACACCGTGGTATATTATCCTCAAACATATTTGGCGTTTATGACTCCCATTATAATTCAATAGGCCGTCACAACCGGATGTCTTAAACCCGCTCACCGATACCTACCTGAAAAGACCTTTTCGACGTGCCAGGGACGGTCGAGACGCGAAGGACCGGACTCAGAGTAATTTTGTTTGTTAAAGTTTTCAAATTTCAAAATTTCCTTACAGAACATGATTTATACTTTGAAGAAAATTACACAAAGACACAATTATTAGAAGTGTTACACACTCGAAAATTTGAGAAACAATATAAAATAGATGCTATGGCGCGAGATCGTGGATTTAGGGTGATTAGACTTCCGCCGTACCATTATATATTTAACCCCATCGAACTAATCTGGTCGCAAATGAAAAATAATATAAGAAGGAATAATAGGGCACCAAAATTTAGTAGTGCAACAATTGACATAATTAGGGAAGAAGCTTTCAAAATAACTGCCGAAATGTGGGCCAATTGTGTACGACATTCCACAAAAGAAGAAGACCAGTACAGGGCACGGTTGATAACACCGTTAATTATTAATTTAGAAGAGTCGAGTGATGATGACAGTGACTATTTCGATCAATAAATAAGCAGTAGTAGTTAATAAGTAAATAGTTGTGCTGTAATAAAAAATGATTGAGTACAAAGTTACTTTGTTTTTACTTAAAATAAAAAACTCGAAAGGCGCAGTTGTCGGTAAATGCAAAACTCAGTCCTGCCCTGTGCTTTTACCAGAAAAGGTCTTTTCAGGTAGGTATCGGTGAGCGGGTTTAAGACATCCGGCCTATTGAATTATAATGGGAGTCAAATTGGTGTGAAGTCATAAACGCCAAATATGTTTGAGGATAGTATACACCTGAGGATCGTTACCAGTTGGGACGTTTGGGTAAAAATGCAGTTACCAAGGCAGCCAAAGAACAGCTGCGCTTGTGGCCTGCTGATTGGTCGGTGGCCTGCGATATGGAAAGTTTACTCGAACTCTTGGAGGACGAGAGGACGAGAGGACGAGACAGACACAACCAGTGTAAGGGCCGGTCTTTTCATGTCCCAGATAAAGTGTTCGACAACTATCGTCCCGATAACTTTACCTGGCGGTCTTATCTTCTAAATAAGCTCGTACCGTCTTTTCATTTTGCTACTGTTAGACATGGGTCTCCGATAACAATCAGCTAGTCCAGCTGTAAGCGAGAGAGTGGGAGCTATTGGTATTGTAATATGAATAAGAGAGAAAGACTATTTGCAACTGGGTTTGCAACAGTTTCTGACGTTTGAAGTCGTACCTCCATTGCGTACCTCTGCTAACATAACCTCATTTACTTCGTATATTATCGTTTTATTTTGGTTGTGCTATGGATGTCTATGAACTTACGAAGGTATCGACATGTTATTTGATGCATATTTATTATTAATAATAAATGTGATTGAAGAAATAAATCCACATCAAACATACATTGTTCGCGAAAGGAGAGATTATTTCAACTTTTGGAGTGACCAAGAAATTTTTAATAGTTTTTGTCTTTCAAAAGCCACAGTAGAATTATTGTTTAACGAAATTCAAAAGCAGTTACAACATCGGGCCACAAGGTAAAGATAAATACGAAATATTAAACGTACTATTTTATATATTAAAATTTGTGTGAAAAGCCTACCCACTAATGGCCTGCTGCCGCCTGTCAGCTGCTGAAGATTCATTGAGGGAGAGATCGTTGCGGCTGCCTGGTTGTATTCGGCTGCAAGCTGTGTATCAGTTCTTGTACTTCTTGTTACGTTTTAAATTATAAGGCAGTTTACAAATTCATCACCATTCTCAAATTGAAGTACAAGAAATTTTAGCGCTAAATGTACGAAGCAAAAGAAGGAAAAACCTCTGTACCAAATTGAGAAACAAAGAAATTTTTATGAAAAGTGCTTGTGGTAAAAATGTGGTACCAGTAAGGAAGCCTGCATTAAATAGTTTAGAGCAACTCTCTATCACCACATCTTCCACGTAAGGGCTGCAAAGAATTTTATAAGAAAGAATATCTTTAAAGAACATGTGAAAAAATGTCCCCATAATACCGATGATAAGACCATAAAAACCAATGCCCAAAGTGGTGGTCAATCTTTGTTTGCTGCTTATAGAGAAAATGATATTTTGCGAAAAGAAATATATCCTTCCGACAATGAGACCAGATCAGATATCATTTACAGCGAAAACAGATCCTCTAATACATAACTGGAGATGGACATGTATTGCCAGTTTATGTTGTCTACAAGGCACAAAACTTATATTCTTCTTGGACTGCTGGTGGATCCAAAAACACCCGATATAATCGAACTCCATCGGGATGGTTCGATATGATTTGTTTTGAGGATTGGATAATGACAACAGTGATCCCTTATGTAAAAAAGCTCGAAGGCAAAAAGAATTTAATTGGAGATAATTTATGTTCTCACATAAACATCGACGCTTTAAAAAAACTCAAAAAATAGAACACTGTTATGGTTTTTTTGCCTCCAAATTCCTGCCGCCTGTCAGCTGCTGAAGATTCATTGAGGGAGAGATCGTTGCGGCTGCCTGATTGTATTCGGCTGCAAGCTATGTATCAGTTCTTGTATATACTTGTTGTTACGTTTTATATTATAAGGCAGTTTATAAATTATCAGCGAATAAACTAATAATATATTTTTATACCACTGCTTCTACTAATTAAAGAGAATTTCAATAAAATATAGTAGTTTTTTATTGTCATAAAGAAGAAAAAGTAAAGAGCAACAAGTGGTGTGGATTGATTTTGTCTTTATAAATAATTCCTATTAGCCTACCGCACGATTGACAGCGAATACGCGTCTAAAAGTACGTGCATCCTTTTCTCCCCATTGGCAGGTGAATGGAAATTGCCTTTACAAAAAAAAGCGACCTTCCCATTTTTGGACCTACTTTTTATTTGGGGACACTAAAATAGATGTACTAATAGTAAAATATGTGTAACAATTGTTTCGAAAATGGTGTTCGTTTTTTTGTTACACTTGTCGGAAGTTCAAAAAGTGTTCCTATTCCCCCCATTTTACTGTACTTTCTTATTGAAAATTAATAAAAACTGGAAGGAAATTATTTCGTTTTCATTTTAAGATTTGCTTCTTGTTAAAACCAAAACGCGCAGAAACACGTAATTTACACATCATATGTAACAGTAACTACTAACTAACCGCATTTATTCGAAAATCTGAGTTAAGCACTTGTATTGAGTATTAGTCTTCGTATTTTAAATCTTTGAAGTCAACTAATAAAATTGTTTAAGCATTGAATGGTTTTTGTACATTTAAAACAGTTTTTCATGTCTCCTGAAAAGCGTACGTTTTACACCTTACGAGCTCCTGTGTTTAGCCCCCGATATTTAAAACCTCAGATAGGCGAAATTGCGGTAAACGGCTTTAAAGCCACCGGAATGCATTCCTTAAATAAATTTGTACGTTCGGATGCCGATTTATTGCTGCAGAGGTTGATTCGGCAAAAACTTGTAGCGATGCTCATCGTTTATCCAATTTTATGACCACCAACTAGAATGAAACCATATCAAACCAAATTTACGCCAACCATGTGTAAGTATCAACACCATCAATTTTAATGAAAAACACTGAAAGAAATATTTTTGCAGAAACTTATGCAGAACCAAGACCAGGGATATCTTCAGATCCTGATGAACCTAATTTACAGGAATCAGCAGAACCTAAGTTTCAGACGTTAGCAGAATCTGACCATTTAGATACGTCAAAAGTAGATGGGATTACTTCTAATTCCTGTCTTTTAAAAAATATTCTAACTTCACCAAATTTATATCTGTACCAGTAAATAACGCAAGAGTTACCAATCGTAGAAAAAAAGGACTATCGTTTAAAACTATAAAATAACAATAACTTCCTCGCCTGATAAAAACGAGCTATCTGAAAACCTAGAAGGCAAATTACGGAGGTTAAATCTGAAGAAAACTAAAAAAGCTTGGAATGGAAAAATCCGTAAAACCCACAGGAATTACAAGCCAAAAAAATATATACAAACTCCTCAGCAACCGAGTCCGAAACAGAATTTACCCCAACTGATACAGATACAGATTTCGATTTACTTATCTCAAATTTAAAAAATCATACGGTGTAAATAAAAACTGTGTCCATATAATTTTTAGGACAGTCCTAACAGTAAAATACTTTCACTTGGTCATCATTCTAGGGAATATTTCAAATAAGATTATTCTTAGCAAGGACACTTCATTTGTAGGCATTTTCACATGCAAAAATGGCCCAATGCATATAATTTCTTTGTCCTTCCTCCAGGACTTCTTCAGATTTTTAATAAAATTATGATTTACGACTATTCATAAAATTGTATCAAGTTAAATTCTAAGTAACCACTGTCAAATTTATATGCAAAGTTAATGAATTATTATATCTCACACAAGACAACATTTCTTAACTGGTATTTTTGATGAAACGACAAACAAAAAGTTATTTTTTTAGATTGTAAAATCTTCCCGTTGCTTTGAAAAAAAAACTAAATAAAAAAAATCCAATAACTGTATTCATTTCATCAACTATTCAGACACAAAAATGACAAACAAATGTGAGCGGCCTAAAATTAATTTACAAAGTACGTTATTCATCAGGCATTAATAAATTTAAATTAGAATCACTTATAACAGAATTCACAAATTTTTGTTCACCGCCACGAATTGATAATGTATGTCCAATTTCAACACACTTCTCTTTCACCATTCCAGTCCTTTCCCACTTTCCAGATCCACAGTTTTTACACGCTACAGTTGGAACTACCTCTAATGATACAGTTCTGTTTCCACAGTCACCACACTTGAAAAATCTTTTTACTGCATCAAAAACTTTTAACGGATGTTTATTATCTTTACAGAATTGTGATGCAGAAAAATTTGTATATTTGCATTGCAAACATTTCACAGCTTTACATGGTACTTTGTATGTATGAATCATTTTTTCTTCCATTTGTTCTTTGACTTCTAATTTATGAAAATATTTTTCTTGTTCTTCATTGTCTCTTTCATTTAGAAGATCAGAATGTTTAGAAGTGGCTGCCATCATCTTTTTGAAACGATCTGACAGAAACTCATTTTCTGTAATTTTTTGTTTCTTAGGCAAGTGTTCATGATCATTTGAATTTTCCATTATTCGTTTTCTATTTTCAACTGATTTTTTACTACAATTTGGATCACTCTTTTTCAAAGGACCATTTTTCTGTATATACTTAAGTGCGTTTAACTTAGCTTTGTTCATTTGTTTTGGAGTAACTTTTGTATCTAAATCTACCATATCTTTTTCACCCTTTGATAATAATGGAATGTTTATACTTGTAGGTTTGCTAACAACTTTATCGCCATTCTTCGATGAAACGGAGTCATTTTTTGGGAAGTCTGGATCAGCGCTAGTTTTATTTGATGTATTGTCCTTTAACTTCGATAAAACGTCACTCACTAATTTCTTAGATGTTTCTAGAGTGGCTTCAGCTGAGTGTGAAGCACTAAATGTCCCTTGAACTCTATTCTCTCCCAATCTTTCCAATAATGTCAAATCTTTTAATCTTTGTCGCTGCGTAACTTCGATATTTGCAGCAGATTTCTGGCGAATCTTTGGTTTATTTTTTGTTACTTCACTCTTACGAATATTACCACCATTAAGAGCTTGAAGAAGACTCTCATCTTTTTCTTCTAATTTTCGATTACGTTTAGCAGGAATTGCAGAGTATATTTTTCCAGCATAAAATACTTCATTTTTACCCAAAACTTTATTCCTCAAAGCTGTCAAGCCTCTTCCAGCAAAATTCGACTGAAGCTCAGAACGCCTACTGCACTTCTGGTATTCTTGCTTAATATGGTAAATGCAATACTCACATCTGTTAATGTTCACAATTGCATTACACTTTTCTCCATTCTTTTTTACGCTTTTGCATGTTCCATAATCCTTGGATTGACCCAAAATCATTACCTTTTGAGCATTATCAACACTCAAAGCAGCCTAAAACCAATCTAAATTAAATAAATGTATTTTTTAATCATCATAAACTTACTTCATCTTTTGAATTATCTTTTTTCTCAAGAACATTTGGATTCAATATACCAACAACTGTGCCACTTGCTGTTTTCCATAGTTCTTTGTATGCATTGCCAAATAAAAACACTGAGACCAATTTAATATCGTCTTTCAAATCACTCAACGTCCAAATTAAAAACTGGTTACCCTTTTGAGATGTTCTGACGGAACTTTTGCTAACTACTACTCCAGCAATAACCCAATTCTTCTCAGAAATATTTCTCGTGAGAAATGTTTTAATTCTTGAAAACATAACGGCTTCACGTCCTACCATTCTCTCCTGGAGAGTAGTAAATGAAACTACAGGATTAACAATGCGAAGGCCAAATACTGGGTCGGAATAAACATCTTGTGATTTTGTTGAAGTCTGCTGTTGAAAGCCTGTTTGTTTTTCAATGATTTTAGTTTTCCAAGTTATAGTTGATTGGCGACTTGAACTGGACGCTGTTGGTGTAGCTGTTTTTAATAAATGTTTCACATCTTTACCAGAATCATTGTATTTTCGATCCTCGTGGTATTTATTGTCTTCATCATCTGAAGAATCAGTATCACCACTATGAACATTCGAAAAACTTTTTGTTTTTGGAACACTGTCGCTTTCTGCGATGTGATTGATGTTACTGTTTTGATTAAATAAATCCGCATCTTTTAGTTGCCTTTTGGGGGTAACAGACGTATTTTGATTTAAATTTTTGGAGGCAATTGATAAAAAACTATCCAATAAATTTTCCGACATTGTATCTGAAGTGAATCAATGTCTCCGGTCTAAACCTGACTATACACTTAACAATTTCGTTGAAAACTTCACAAACAGAGCACTGAGATTAAGAACACATTAAGAACCCACTAATGAATGTTCATTAATTTCCGTCCACAAGGATATTATCCCGCCTTTTTTATTTGACAACTGACAATAAAATTATCTCGCTTTACCAACCTACCAACGTAAAATAGTCCATCAATTAAAAGGACAATAACTCATTTATTACACACAAACCAAAACTACTGGTACTAAAATTTTAAAAAAGTCACTTACCAGCCTATTTTTGGCAATTTCATCATAGGTTAGGAATGAAAAAATCTTCTCCAAAGCAATTTCTGGAATATACAAAATAAACGGTGCAGCACTCATTGTTTTTGTTAAGTCAAACACACACTTCGCGCACGAAAATCTTTCCCAACAAAATAATCTCTGATGAACTGTCTTGTTCTACAAACACTTGATATTTTCAACTTCGAAAAAAAACAAAAACACCACCATCTTATTTACTAGGTAGCAAGTACCAACCCGATCACGCTAAATTCCCACACGTGCTCAGACTGACCAATACTGAGGCATTAAAGTCTCCACGAGTTGCTGCTAGTTATTTTTTACTGATCAGGCGGTTAAATTTGTACAGAAATTTTTTTTCGACACAAAATTACAAAAACATAAATTAGGAGGGCCATTTCAGGCACAAGCAAATATACTAAAACAAAAAGTATTTTTTCAAAAACATTTACACTAACTTCGATGCTAACACAGGCGTGGAATTTTTCGTAGCATTCTCGGGATGACTCATTTTTATTACGATACTGTGCTAATTATACCTACTTTTAAATCTTTCGTTGTCCTATCTTCTTCGAAGTGTGCCTACACATTACATTTGTTCGTAGTTTACTCACTTCACTTTAAAAAATTCACACTTCAGTAATTGGTTTGATCAACGGACCAATTCCTGAATATTTCAATAACTACTATAAATGAATCCATACTTGAAATGAAAGTATACAGTATGAACAATTATTGTCCTAATTTTTAATTGCCAGTAAATAATATCCCTTAATGATGATTCTGAAGTTTGGAAATTTAGAAAACAGAAAATCAAAAATTACAAATTAAAATAAAAGCAAATACACTAACGCTGCATTACATTATTTACAGTTTCTAAAATGAAAACATTTTAACGATATGCTTAAAAGAATAATTAATATACAGTGGAAAATAATTACAAAAAATTTCTAGTCATTCGTACAAAAATTCTCTCACGCTGAAGAATAATACACTACTATTTTAAATTAATTATAATTTGGATTCTCCAAATTTTATTTTTTATAACAAAGTAAATTAAGAATGGATTATGAATCTACAGGTTTAGCAGCATGCTATCCTGTACGTGTGTTAAGATTTTATTAATAATTTTATGATGATGTTATCAACTTTTTACTGTGTTCCCTGAATTTCACGTAAATAAGTCGTTTTTGATTTAATTAATAAAATATAGTACTAGAGATACACATCAATTGTTTTAAGATATAATGTATAAGCCAGTCTGAAAAAGTGTAAGTATAATGAAAAAATGCAAAGTTTCAACACATTTGGCCTTGTAGTTTCTAAGACAAATTATAAAAGTTTATTGTACAATTGTAATTTTTTTCCAGAAACCTGCATGCGCAATAGTTGAAAACACGGTTTAAAATAAGGATGGATAAAATCGCGAACGACCAACAAACAAAAGAGAGACGGAAACGAGCGATCTACTTTTTGATAATCTAGTAGATATGGAGAATAGAGAAAAGTTGATTACACTTACAGAAGCATTCTACACATTTTATCTAAATTTAGTTTGTAAAATTTTTAAATTATATCAAGTTATTGGAAGGGGTTAACACATAATTTCTGATTAATGATTTATCATGTTCACAAAGGAAGCGTATCCAAAATTTCCATACAATCAGTTGTGTATATAGTTTCTTAATTACAATTTAAAACTTCTATAGTTCTGAATATTTTTCAAAGTCCAGTAATTTCGGAAATTATGTGTCTAATGAAATCGCCTCTAGACAAAAGTGACGCCGGTGGGAAACCGACCATTTTATCGTCCTATTACAGTATTACGATTTTTTTTTTTTTAGAATGATACACCTTTTTTACACATCTAAACCAACCCAATGTCTAAAGCTTCCTTCATCAAGAATTGAAATAATTATGTTACGTTTTACAATTTTAGTTTTAGAACTTTTTGAAAAATAACAGTTCCTAGCAGTTGTTTTAAACATTTTTTGTGTCAATAAACACCCGGAGCTGAGCTACCACCGTCCAATCACAGCATTGAAAAGTTAAAAAATATATCTAAAATGATTACCTACAAAACCATTAAAAATTGAGGTTTTACTAGCAATGTTTTAAAAGTGCTACTCAAAAATCACAAAATTTATGACGCGATTATTTCAACATCAGTATCACATAAAAATGCATATAAACGGAAAAAGTACAATTAAAAAGCAGCTGACCCATCTGTTGCGGTTCTAACGATTTTATAAATCTTACATTTATGCCGTACATGGTCTCTGAACTAGTTCTATTGTAAAAAAAAAAAAAACACCATCAGATCTTCACATCTCATAAATATCCCTATAAAATTAGACTAAAAGAAAAAACAAATAATGTTAACACTCGCATTAAAAGTTAACTGTTGATGCAATGCAAATAACTACAATTCAGAATATATAAACGAGGCGATGGTACTACAAGCAGTTGTACTTTTTGTCCGGATATTCTCAAATCAGAAACCCGAACATAAAAATAAAAAGTACAACCAAAAACTAAAACTACATTATATACATATTTACGTCCGTAAATACGAAATTTGTTCTTCCTAGTTTCCTTAATCTGGCTGACAAACGTACAGCCAAATTATGCGTCTTGACTTTGCAATGTGCATTATATACCGACTGACTGACAAAAAAAACCTTTGACATTGTATGTTGCTTACTTTTAATCGATTTAAAACACTGTAATTTTTTTATAAAGGGACTATATAATGTTCTATTCGAACTTATAGTTTGTATGCATTCATAATTTAAAAACAAATCTACAAAAATAAACGTATTTTTTAGTAGACCACAATGAAGTATTTTTATATCTAGCATTCGTTCAAATCGGGAAATTATATGCTTATTTATACAGTGTCAAAGGTTTTTGTTAGTCATCCTGTAAATATATCATATAACACAGTTAAAATTCCATTTTGATTCGTGTATTTGTAAAATAAGAAAAAAATTGGACAATTAAAATAAACACTACTTTTCATCAACTATTTTTAAGTAGTAACATTACAAACAAATGGTATCATGTTAAAAACATATTTATTAAATTTCACACATCAAAATATTTAAGAAAATAAACACTATCCTGGACCTACAATGTTTTCAATTATCGGCATACATACGATTATATTGCATTAGCTCATTGAAGTTCACTCGCCATAACACAAATATTATAAATTCATGTGAGAGAAATCACTGGGCAAGTAATAACAAATTAACTATAGAACGTATGTTCTAGTTTGTATTATGCTTGCAAAAAATATAAATAATTTATTACAAGATCACAATCTGATAAATACCCAGAATAGTTCAATTTAGTGCACACCTAATAACTGTCATTAAATGCCCTAATAAAAATGCAGCCTTAACACGCAACCATTCAAGGTAAATTATACTTAACGTATGGAACTTCCACATCGTTTCCGTCAACATCGTTACAACACAATTCAAACACTAATGCTCGGACGTGGGATTCCAGTTTCTTCTTTGAAACTCTTTTTACAATTTCAGACATCGGTAATCCCAAGCGTTCTTGTGCTTTTGCTTTGGCCATAAAAAATGAATACAGCATGCACACTCCTTGTGACAACATCGTGATTTCCAAACCATGTTTTTCTTTGAAATATTCAAGAAATTCACTCAACGTCATTTCTCCATCAACTTCAAATCGGTCCCACAATGTCCATTCTTTTTCGCAATACTCCAATTTGGGAGCAGCGATAGGCTCTGAGAAACCAAAGAAAGGCAAAGCCAGATTAACAAAACCATTTTTGAAAGGATCCAATGATTTCAGGCTTCTTGCTAATTTATACAGTTCTAAACAGACAAGTCCTCCAACGACTGAAGTGGTAGTTGCAATTGCTGGAATAATCTTTCCAGCGATTAATTTTGACTTGTGTCTATCAGCGGGAGGGATTTTATAATTTGCAGCCCTCAAATTTGAGGCGGCTACAATGAAGTCCATGTGCAAATTTGTGTCGTCGTCTTTTTCGAATTCTAATGGGGTTAATGTGAGGCTACCTAATTCAGATACCGAAGGCAGCTCGTCCTTCAATTGACTCACTCGGTCCAGGTCCACGTTAGATCCGTTCGTCATCGCCATTTGAGAATCAGTGACGGCGATTTTTACACCAGACTTGGGAACGAATTTTGGCACCTGTAAAAAAGTTCTTAAGTACTAACGTAAAGCATAAAAATCTTCGGAAAAGTACAGCATATAAAAAAAAAACCTGTACAATAATATCTACATCTGGATAGAAAAATTACAACGTTTTCATTACTATGTATTTATAGTGAATATTTGTTAAAAAAATACTCTTCGTACGTGATAGTATGTAAAAAAAAAAGCTTAATATGTTACAATATCAAAATTTCAGTAAGTTGTCAATGAATTTTAATAGCAGAAAGTATAGGCTGATAGTAGTGGAAGGTATTTTTCGCAATGAAAAATCATTGAAGTGAGCCACTTTTTCTCCACAAAAATGTTAGTTATTTCAAATTTCTCAACTATTCAACTATTTTCGCAACAAATTCATGTCAATATTAGTTGTTAATTAGTTAACTCAAATTTATCGCGACAACTTTAGAGTTGTAAATATTTTTTGCCACTGTACTACTGTCCCTCTCATTAGCAATAAAATTGTATTATTATTATTACTAACCGTAACATTCTGCACCATTTCAGCAACACTGGCGCGATCCCTGTTTTGTGGAATGCCATAGACCTCGGCCTTCAGATTGGCAGCAGCAAAGATGTAATCCAGATGTAATGTCTCGTTAACGTCAAACTCTAACGGTTCTGGACATCTCTTAGGTCCTGACCAGAACAGCTGACCTGTACTAGTCAATTGATCCGGCGGGAAATTAAAAAGTAGTTGTTTGATTTGATTTGAGTATTGTTCCTCCCAATGATTACGTGCCCACACCACACAGTGTTCGAATTTTTTTGGTCTATCATCAACTAAAGCAATTTTAATTGATTCAAGTACTTCTACTGGTTGAACTCCAGGCAGTTTAATAGTACGTTCCAAAAATTCTGGGTCCGTTAAATACTGAGAAGCATTTTCAGCACTTTGTTTGAACAGTCCTTCAAAGTTGTCGCGAGCCCATTGCAACGTGTGTTCAATGGCATTGGGGAAGTTTTTAAGGGTGCAAATGGGAATACTTTTTTCAGGGGGATCTTGTGATGAACTGTATGATTCAGTTAGGAAAGGCACTACAACTTGGGTGTTGCCCTTAGTACCCAAGGTTCCAGATTCTAACAGAGGTTTTCTATAATAAACACAACGTCTGTCCATATAAATACGAGCGTCTACATTATCTAATGCGTTAGCAACACCGTCCAAAGACTCGAAGAAAGTGTCGTCGTATATATTTTCAGTTTCAGGGCCGACTCTATTTTCATGTGCAACAATATTCACATGAGGATTCATTTTCTTAATAACCTAGAAAAAACAAACAGACTAACGTATTTTTCGTAAAGTGAAAACACTAAAAATGCATACAAATAAGAATCATACACACACACAAAAAAAGAAATGTTTAAATAGACGAATTAATATCTGAGTATAACTTACCTTAGCTGCTGTCCCCGATTTGGGACGCTGGACATCGTGCGGTCTGAACAAAAACTGTCTGTTCAAATTAGATTTCTCAATAAGATCCATATCTGTAACTGTTATCTGACCACCTTCAGCACCCACTCCCATCATAGCAAAATTTTTAAGCAATTCACATCCAATAGCGCCCGCTCCAACCACAAAATATTTCAAACTACCCAGTTTCTTTTGGAAATCACTTCCGAAAACGGCAATCTGTCCATCATAACGAGTACCTTTAGGTGCTGCTGACTCTTCGGTGATTTCTCCAGCTTCTGCTGGTAAACATTCAATGGCATCAAAGTACAACCACTGATAAATGGGATGAAATTTGCCTGAACAGGCTTTCATGACTTCCTGCGCCACGACACCACCGATGGTGGCATTAATCGGATTTAGATCACCCGCACATACTTTTGCAAATGTTTCTAACAAATTAATGTTCACTTCGTTATCGTTCCCACCATCCACAGCCAACGATTTTGCCAAAGTTAAAAATTCTGCTGCATCTTCAGTATTCCACGGTTTTGGTACCGTGCCGTGCTTTTCCACATACTTATGTAATGCAGTAAATGCTAAATGAAGCTGTTGCGGATGTTCAAATTTAGCAAAATCGGTGATTAAAAATTCCGGACTTTTTGTTGATTCTTTTAAGGATTTAAAAGAGAGTGTTTTGGGCATCTTGACTTGCGACGCAATACCACCTCTTTCGTATTTTGAGTAACCACTTGTGTCCCCAATACTGAATGTGTATGGACCCAAAACTTTGATTTTAATTGGTTTACAGTTGTTGAGTTCTGTCATTCCTTGAACTTCGGAAAATGTTACGTAGTCACCGTCTTCCATTCCGTGTCGCGTATCATCGATGCAGGTTACAATTCCTAAAATAAAAACAAATGTCGTTCAGAGATGAAAATGTATAAACATACCAAGATTAGATTAAGTTTTGTGTTAAATTAAATTAGATCTGTTGAGAAAAATGGGGAACTGCAAGTTCGTGAGAAATAAATATTTTGTGGTAAAACAACTAAATAACCATCACCATTCCAGTAATAATAAAAAAAATCATGCTTTTATCCACTGAAATACTAACGTAGCTTTTAACTTAAATATGTGATCTAATTCCGAAATTGTTTTATTTTCTACTTGTATTAAGTGATTTCATATGGAGCTAATATGAAGTGATTTACTCTGACCATTCCTAGGATTAAATGTAAAAGAAGTTTTTGTCCCAAAAAGCTAAAAACTGCACCTAATGTGTAACTATACATCTTTCTTGTACTATGTTCTTCATTTGACAGAATCAAAGTGTCACTTCAATCTCTCCGGTATTAGTTAGAATACAAAAAAAAAATAATGCTCTTAAGTTATTTACAGAGAACTCCCTTCGCTCTTAAAACGCAACCTATTCTGCATACATGTTATAGTGTCTTCTTCAATGAGGACTTTCTAGGATTCTTTTCATTAGGATAAACATTTTACTTTTGATACAAACATGTAATGCAATACTATTATAACATTACTCCGTTCTATGAAGTTCAAAGTATATTTTTTGAAACGATGTTATGAATAATAATTTTCGACCGTAGCTAGCTACTACAATAGAGTAGCTAATTACAATAGAGTCCATTTGATGAATGGCCAATTTCATGCCTTCCCGACGTTCAATAGTTCCTATGATATAAAAAAGTAGACTTCTAACCTTGAGGTCTTGTTTGTTAGCAATTTTATTAAAACAGTAGTTTACGAAATTACTAAATCTACTGTAAAATTCTATGTGTACTTTCAAATTATCGTACAATTAGTGAAGCGCTGAACAAAATTTGTCGATTCAATCCCATCAAAGATTGGTTAACAATATCTCAAGTTTTTGCAAAGCAAATCCTCATTAAAAATAAAAAATAATATGGTTCTATAGCTATGGTTTATTAGTTCAATCCAAGGGCGCTATATTAATACAACGTCGTCGGTTCGCTCCTACTGGTTATGCAGATTTTTGGAAAGAAATTTAAAATTGTACAAGATTTTTAAATTTATCTGAAACTTCACAACTGATTTCTATAAAATTCTGCAAGCGTTTTAAGATTATCGTGAAAATTTGTTTGTGGGTTCCTTGCAAAAACTTGTTGGCATCATCTTAAAATTTTGTAAAATAAAAATCTTATGTACTTTACATAAGATAACACAAAACGATGTATTTTATTCCTTACATCAAAAATGACAGTATTTAGGTATTTATCAAAAGTGATATATTTGTTTCCACTAAAAAGTTGAATACATTACAAAATTGTATTTAAATAAATTTCATTTGAAACACACAATACAACATGTTCTTGCTTTTTGTAATAATACTCCTACGTGTATTTAAACATATAAACCTTATGATAATAAATAAAATTTGTTAAATTAATAAATTTAAATGATGTTAGGTAAAAAACGAGACTTGCTTAGTTTTGGTCAAGCGTCACATTGAAATGTTTTTCTTTTTTCATAACTTTTCAAAATTCAAAAGGTTCAGCACACACTAGAACCCAATTGTCTCATCGAGGCAAATTAATCACAAAAATGTACCTAGCGTAGGTCATAGTTTTTCTTCCAAGCTCAGGAAAGTCGTTAAATACCACGACCGGCTTCGCACGACCGTAGAATAAATACACTACGATACATCCATATATCCCTGATCAGCGACGTTGGTTTTGAAAACGTAAAGTCCCTAGATTATCCAATCTAGGAACTTTATGAAAACGTCGTTTCTATCGACATCTGTTCGTAACTGACATAATTAATAAAATAAATTATACTTATCGACTCTACATCTAAAAATTTTGTATTATTGTCATTTACAAAGCACTTGTAAACGAAAAAACCTAAATTAACTAGAATGACTTTCTAGTACACGGTAGAAGAGCTAGATGTTACTTTCCAAGATATAGGGACCGGCAAAAAACGTCGCCATCCCAAGCCGCTAGTATACCAATCTATCTAGTCTAGACTTATATATCTATGTCTAGTATACTGCTCACTCTGTAAAATCACACAGAAACAGTATTCACGATCAAAAAGAGACACAAGACGTTGTTTTCTGTCTCTATCATATCAGAAGGTCTTTGCGCATGTACACAAAATCACAGCAGACAGTTAAAACACCGTGGTTATGAACCAACATGATTTAATTTAAATTAATTAGAATTATGGTTGATGATATTAATTGCAAAGTTTCAAACAACTGGTGTTATTTACGTTAGCAAAATTGATAAAGGATAAAGCAAATATCTTGACACTGTTGATATTTCGAGGTTTTGTTTTCACAATGAAACGAAGCAAAAGTGAGTTTTAAAACATTAATTTACTTCAAGTTTTTTTTTAATTTTGCTTGCATCACACTACCAAATTATTTCAAATTTGTAAAAATTATTCCTATAATTAGTATGTCTGGATCGTAATATGTCGCATTCTGTGAAATAAATATCTATGTTTACTTTCCGGTTTTTTTTTGACAGCAGACATTTTTTGTTGTTATTATGGCGATCCCACTTTTTTTGACAAAATTTGACATTATAGGACCAAGAAATTACTATTCTCATGTAGCAACCGCGAAAATTTTGTATCCTCGTAAATATTTAAGATTCCGGTATTATAAATCCATCAAAGGATGGCCACGCTACTTGCAAATGTTGAATTGGAATTTACGTCTCGACAAAGATAGCACGCGCTACACTTCACAGTTTCAAAACGGTTTCCCCCACATTTATGGTTGGACTATATACAGACTCAGTCATTTCTGATCACGCGGTACATGTATGGAAAATTTTGGAAGTCAATTGCTACAATTTTTATCTGATCACGCGGCACAAGTCTATCACTGTCTAGTGCATGGGTTAAGTTCCTCTCTTTCCAATTCCGGGTACAGGTACAGGTACTTTGTGGCGTCGTCCATCTCAAAAATGGAAAAACCACAACTTCAAAATATTATTTCCGTACATGTAAGTTACAGTAGCATTATTTCTACATATCCTGTATATTACCCTAGGTATTTATATGCAACATTTAAATAATGCAAATTACCGAAGTTCTATTGGACTCGTTTGACATGACATTAAATTTAATTCACAAAGTAAGGTGAACAAAAATGATACCGGAGACAAAAAAATCAATTTACGTTCATTTAAAAATTAATTTCAGTTGCAGAGGGAGTTCAAAAAACAAAATATATAGACGGGTCCAGAAAATCTCGACGTCAATGCCATTCAACTGTCACAAAGTGTAAAACACCGTAAGTATTGTATTTTTTCGTTTTGTTTTTTTTGACACTGCATGCTGACGATGGATGCGACATGACAAATCTTTTAAACTTCAAACGTCAAAGTGACAATGAAGCAGTCTACATCAAAATTTTTAAAATGTCCAACAATGACATGCAAGATTTTCTGGCTCCAACTATATAACAAAATAAATACCACCTTCATTCCTTTGCTGCATACTTTACATATTATTTAAGCGTAATTTTTTTTTCTAATAATAATAGATTGTAAATCGAAAATGTCAATTTTTCATATTGACTTACTGTGTGAATTAGTAAGTCTACAGATGTATTTAAACAAAAATTACCGTGTGCATTCAGTAGTAATGATTTCATTTAAGACGAGAATTCAGTAACTATGTGTGTAGATTAGATTGGTATGATTGTCAGTTTTCAGTGTCAAAAACTACTTTCTGGATAATGAACACTGTGACTGCTAGAAAATATTCCATTTGTTAACTTTTATACTACTATACTAATATCACACAAATTTTTTCAAGCATTATGTAACATATCTTAGCATCACTCATAATTCTCTGAACTTGTAAAATTTGTATTGATGGCTTTTTGCAAATAATATGGAACAATAAAAGTATTATGACAACTATCATGCATTTTTTTTCCTAGAGCTGACCTTACCAGAAAGTTATTTAAAGTATTTGCAATTTTATTGTTTTATAAATTTAAATTTTTCTACTTTTCAAAAGAAGTTACACAAGATCAAAATTTCAATTATTTTGATTTTTTAAAATAAGCTGAACAAATGAATACCAAGAAAAATTAAATAAATACAATCAAAGCAGTTATATCTTATCTCTTCAAGCCTCATAATTACTGTTACTACATGATTGTGTCTAATAAAATCCTTAAGCAGCGTGACTTGGTGCATGATTTAAATAAATGAAAATAATTGAGCAATCATGATTCATTTTATAGTTAGTTCGTAACTGCCACCCTACCTTCCTTGTCATTGGAAACATCAGCAATCATCGCTGATACGGTGGGTTCGCCGTTTATATCCACAACCGTGAAGGACTCTCCGAAATCGCAGAAGACCTGTGCAAAGATTCCCCTTGTATCTGCGACAATCAAAGCAATGTTATTAGCATGAGTGGTCTCGCTTATCTGCATCTGCTCAGCCAAAGAACTGCTGGTCAACACGACGACTCTAAACTTGCATAGGAAGTCTGGCGTAAGGGACCCGGTGTACGCCTTCGTGGGCACGTAGGTGTTGAGCTCGGAGAGCTGTTTGCAGCACACTTCGGCTCGGTTCTTGCCCACGTCCGCTTCGGTGAGGTAGAATTGCGAGCTCAGGTCGGCGACGGTGCAAACGGCTTCGTCGTGCAGCGTGACGGACTTGACCCCGCCGAGGATGACATTCTTGGCGACTTCGACACCGAGCCCGCCGAGGCCCGAAATCAGCACGTCGCTGGAGGCCATGCGGCGCATGGCATCGTGGCCCAGGACGTACAGTTGGCGCGAGTAGAGGCCCTCGTCGATGTCCTGGGCCGGCCGCGTCGACGACCCAGAAGCTCCATTGTTCGCCATGTCTGATGAAATCGGCAACGAATCAAGCTTCCGTTTCTTGGCTGGGGGATCGACGGAGCTTTCTGCGATTTCAGCACTAGACATCGGACACACAAGAACACAGTTTGATTAGTTGTGGTTCAATCGGTCGGATTGCGCGCATATATTCGTGTATTCGAGTCAATCGCCCGGTTTCTCACAAATTGTACATCCACAACGCTGACAAATATCACACAAAGAGAAGTCAAACCTAGTGCGCATGACGCATTGCGTGATTCATAATTACGAGCGGTTTTTACAAATAATAATCTGTGGAATTCGAAACGCGGTAAAATTCTAATAAAGCGGAGGAGACGGCGAACAGTTTACGAAAGAGCGCACTGACACCGACAGATGTGCGTATCAGCAATACACGTTACACATGATGAAACATTTAAATCGTGGTTATTTTGACATCCACAATAATTTTGAAAGCTTGCAAATCAAAATGAGTACCGAACGCTAGTGTTCTGTTACCCACGCATCTTCCTCGGCGACTTGTGATTCTTCAATTTTTATTAACTTCATAACTCCATTACTTTATCGATGGAGAACGAGAAAAAAAAAACAAATGTAATAGTTTTCGCATCACGTAAGCTGGAATTACCCACGTTTTATTTATTCCTGATTTTTTGTCCTTTTTGATACGTATGGAAGTAAGCAAGATAGTCATCTATTTACCATGAAGTTATTCTTACCTGTGTAACAGGAAAACTGCCTAATAATGTGTCTAGAGTACCTGTATTAAAAAAGTATGGACCTTGGAAAATAATCAATAAAAATAAGCAACCAAATATGACATATGTATAAGTATGAACACTTGGAAAGTACAGAGAAAGAGGGACAAAAACGAACTCTGTAATTTGTAACTGATTAGCGACTATCAATTTATCGGTAAATTTGTGTCCATCTCGCGCCGCTACATTTAGACGTGAGTATCTCGCCTGCGCAAAAGAGTGGTGTCGCAATGTTGAATTTGTGCTGTCATGGTGAAAGTTACCGCTTACCGCTATTAATAGATAATTTCACTTTTGTATTACTGGTTGCATATCTGTCGGTTTTGAGTTCCGCTAATAAAACATCTACACTCACCGGCAAAAAAAAAGCGAATCACACAAAGTTTGTATTGAAAATGGTTCCTTTTTTAAACGTTTGGCTACAGTCAATATCAGTTTTGAAAAAATCACACAAAATATACTAATACTAGGTTTTTGGTTCTTTTTTGTACATGATATGAACCTCAAATCTGAAGATGATAAGTTTTTTCCAACAATGAGATTTGCAGTGGTGACGTTTAGAGGGCATTAACAGACTGTTTGTCATTGTAATTTGATGAAAACTGTGTTTTTGTCAATTAACATGAGTATTGTGGCCATTAATGCAGCACGAGCAATTGCTCTTATTCAGGATGGTCGAAGTTAACGGTACGTTGCCAATACGTTAGGGGTATCACAAGTGAGCATTCACAGAACTGTATGACGGTTTAATGAGACTGGATCATACAGCCGAAGACCTGATTCGGGTCGTCCAAAGAAAACATCGGCTCGGGATGACTGTTTTTTAACGCTGACCGTGTTCCGTAATAGGGATACGACCGCAGTTGAGGCCAGAAATCAACTTGAAGAAACACGAGGAGTTAGTGCAAGTGAAAGAACTGTAAGGAAAAGGTTAACTGCAGCTGAATTGAGGGCCCGTAAACCTGCAAGTGGCCCAGAACTTCTCCCACGCCATAGAGTAGCCCGACTTGCATTTGCTCGAGAACACGTTAACTCGGATCTTGCCCAATGGGGCCAAGCACTCTTTACAGATGAGCCGCGTTTTTGTCTACGTTCTCCTGACGGCCGTCAAAGAGTATGGCGAAGAAGAGGCGAAAGGTAGGCTGAGTGCAATATTGTTTCCAGACTAAGTTTTCATGGAGGTTCTGTGATGGTCTGGGCAGGAATTTCTGCCGAGGCTCGCACGGAACTTGTAGTGGTGGATAGAGGCACAATGAATGCTGATCGATATGTAGCAAATATTCTTCAAGAGCATGTCGTACCTTTTGCTCCTTTTATTGGCGATAATTTTATTCTAATGCATGATAATGCTAGACCACATATCGCTAGAGTTGTACAAACCTACCTCGACGAATTCGGGATTTCACGTATGGAATGACCAGCACGCAGTCCCGACCTGAATCCAATTGAGCATGTGTGGGACATGTTAGGTAGACGTATCAGAGCACGTGTGCCGGTCATACAACACATAAGAGATCTTGCAAATGCGCCAGTTGAAGAATTTGACCAATTAGCCCGGGCTGAGATTAGACACCTCATAGAAGGTATGGGAAGACGTATGGCAACCGTAATGCAAGCTAGAGGCGGCAACAGTCGTTAATAATGATATGTTAAGTTGTCTTTTGTTGGTTTAATGTAATGGATTTTCTGGTATTTTTTAATAAACTCGTAATTGTTGCAACTTCAGCGAAGGTCCCGTTACCTTCTCATCTCCTTTGTCCTAGATAAACTAATTTGTCTTATAAATGTGACGCACACCAGAATTTATTGAAGATTTCTACAAAAATACTAATGATTCGATTTTTTTGCCGGTGAGTGTATAATAATAAAATTAAGTACTAGGAATATATTTTTTAACTAATTCAAAAAACAGTTGCGCAAATTCGCAAATAAGTTTGTTGGTTTGTTCCAAGCTCGTTTAGATTATACTTCATTTTTTTAAAAAGCGAAAAAAAATCACGCAACCGAAAAAACACACCCTCTTTTACAACCGTGCCTATAATTAACGAGCTGTTTTCACATTTTTTAAAAACTTTGCGTCAAAGTCTCATATTAAATTGACAAGTAGTGACGTACTCCTAAGAAAAATAGAAACAACGACGAGAAAGGAACTTTTATTACATCAAAAACATGTGACTGCATGGGGACTGCCAATTAAACAAAAGACGAAACACTGGCCAACACCTCCGTGGCAATGCTTTATATGCAATTAATGAAATATTATTATTAAGACCCACCACTGACCCGGAAATGACCGGCATTCAGGCAAGACTTCTATCATTACGGGTACTAAGACCAAGTAATGATATGAATTGATTAGATTAACAGAACAACTTTCGAGATTCTAGAATTACAGCATACAAATTAGTCTGCTATTATTCTCTAATCTCACCCCATCCCCAAAAGTCCAGCGTAACTACCGACCATTTATCCGCGCATCACATGAAAAGTGACCTACACTACTCTGACCTACTGGTGCTAATCTAATCTGACTGACATGATCAGACTGTTCAAGAAACTTACGAACAATATGACATGTTCCTAACAAAACAGCTTTTTGAATTTTGACAATTATTGAATCATTCAAATGCAAAGACTTTAAATTCTCAACTAAGCTATTTGGAACTACACCTACATTAGAGATAACTAAGGGTAGAATTGAAATTTTTTTAAGATTCAACATGGATTTCATTTCTATCGATAATTGTAGATATTTGGAAATCTTGGTGTCGTATGTTTGAATAATGTTGTTTGTGTTAGGAATAGCAATGTCAATGAGAATGGCTTCGTTGGTGTGTTTTTTGATAAGTATGATGTCTGGTCTGTTAGCTGTAATGTTTAAGTCTGTAAGTATTGTGCGATCCCAGTATAATTTGTATTTGTTATTTTCAAGGAATGGAGACGGAATATAAGTGTAATAGGGTGTCGTATCTTCGATTAAGTTCATAAGTGTTGCTAATTCTTTGTGAATGATTTTGGCTGCGTTGTCGTGTCTAGCTTTGTAATCAGTTTGTGCTAGGATGCTGCAAGAAGAGATTATGTGCTGGATCGTTTCAGGTTTTGCTTTGCATAGGCGACAGCAGTCGTTTTTTATGTTCGGATCTTTGATGATGTATTTTCTATAATTCTTGGTATTGATTACTTGGTCTTGAATAGCAAACACAAATCCTTCTGTTTCGGCATACAAACTTGATTTTTTTAACCAAATCAATGACATCTTCTTATTGACATGATTTTCTTCTAAGTCTTTGTAGAATTTTCCATGTAGTTGTTTTTGTTTTAGCCCACTTATTATTTTATCTATTGTGTGGGGGGTGTGGATTTCTTATTATTATTAATAAGACCCACCACTGACCCGGAAATGGCCGGCATTCAGGCAAGACTTCTATCATTACGGGTACTAAGACCAAGTAATGATATGCTTTGATTAGATTAACAGAACAACTTTCGAGATTCTAGAATTACAGCATACAAATTAGTCTGCTATTATTCTCTAATCTCACCCCATCCCCAAAAGTCAAGCGTAACTACCGATCATTTATCCGCGCATCACATGAAAAGTGACCTACACTACTCTGACCTACTGGTGCTAATCTAATCTGACTGACATGATCAGACTGTTCAAGAAACTTACGAACAATATGACATGTTCCTAACAAAACAGCTTTTTGAATTTTGACAATTATTGAATCATTCAAGTGCAAAGACTTTAAATTCTCAACTAAGCTATTTGGAACTACACCTACATTAGAGATAACTAGGGGTAGAATTGAAATTTTTTTAAGATTTAACATGGATTTCATTTCTATCGATAATTGTAGATATTTGGAAATCTTGGTGTCGTATGTTTGAATAATGTTGTTTGTGTTAGGAATAGCAATGTCAATGAGAATGGCTTCGTTGGTGTGTTTTTTGATAAGTATGATGTCTGGTCTGTTAGCTGTAATGTTTAAGTCTGTAAGTATTGTGCGATCCCAGTATAATTTGTATTTGTTATTTTCAAGGAATGGAGACGGAATGTAAGTGTAATAGGGTGTCGTATCTTCGATTAAGTTCATAAGTGTTGCTAATTCTTTGTGAATGATTTTGGCTGCGTTGTCGTGTCTAGCTTTGTAATCAGTTTGTGCTAGGATGCTGCAAGAAGAGATTATGTGCTGGATCGTTTCAGGTTTTGCTTTGCATAGGCGACAGCAGTCGTTTTTTATGTTCGGATCTTTGATGATGTATTTTCTATAATTCTTGGTATTGATTACTTGGTCTTGAATAGCAAACACAAATCCTTCTGTTTCGGCATACAAACTTGATTTTTTTAACCAAATCAATGACATCTTCTTATTGACATGATTTTCTTCTAAGTCTTTGTAGAATTTTCCATGTAGTTGTTTTTGTTTTAGCCCACTTATTATTTTATCTATTGTGTGGGGGGTGTGGATTTCTTCGGTGTTCGACAGATTTAAGGGTGTGTGGTTCAAATCTGCTCTTGTGATGGTGCGAAACATTTCATTTCTTTCCGCTCGCTTCAAGAAATACTTCTTCAAATCTGAGATTTGTCTCTGATATAAGTTTTCTAAGTTCTGGAAACCCCTTCCTCCATTCTGTCTTGGTAATGAGAATCTTTCAATCGATGATTTTGGGTGATGCCTTCTATACTGTGTGAAGATTTTCCTTGTTGCGATGTTTAAATTTTCAAGATCAGTTTTGGACCATTTAATGACTCCAAAAGAATATGTTAACAGTGGAACGCAGAATGTATTTACTGCTTTCATTAAATTTTTTCCATTTAACTGTGTCTTCAATATTAATTTTAATCTCGCTACGTATTGATCTTTCAACTGTGTTTTCGTTTTGGTATGATTGATGTGGGAGGATTGACAGAAACCCAGATATTTGTATGTATCGTTTCGTTCTTGGGCTTCAATTATTTCCTTATTAATATTAATATTAATATTATTATTATTATTATTATTATTATTATTTTTAGACCCACCGGTGGTGCGGAAATGACCGGCATTCTGGTAAGACTTATATCATTTAAGTTGTAATCGAGTCTATAGGGCGGCTGGCTACTTTTATGTGTTCTCAATTTTAAATTCTATAAAATAGCATAACCACTCCGCCACTTGTACGCGTACATACTAACATACTTATGAATCCGGGTTGAGTTTTTACCCTAAGCATCCAGCCTTTTGTAAAAAAATCAAAAATATATAACATTTTACAATTTAAATTTGAAACTGCAAAATCGAATGCTCTGCTGAAACCCTGTAAACGTTTGACGGTTATCGAAAACATGGTAAATCGTAAATCAAAAATTAAAAATAAGCAAAAAATGATGAGTCTATACTTGTGATTTACCTTTTCATTCATTTTACTTTCTGATTCTGAGCTAAGTATGGTAATCGAATCCATCGGGCGGCCTCCAGCGTACGAAAAAAATGGTGTTCGGTTTCCGTCCGTCGTCTGTGTGTCTGTCTGTGTCGATTTTTATTTTTAGTATTCGAAATTACGGGACCGATTGTTGTTAAATTTTTTATGTATATTAGGGGTATCATGTAGATGGTAAAACGCTAACCAAAATTTGGTTAATCATCCCCATCAAAAACTTTGGAAAAAAAAATCAAAATTGTGTAACATTTTACAATTTTCTTTGAAACTGTAAAACCGAATGATCTTTAATCTTGGATCGTAATCGTAATCGTTAATCAAAACTTATTCCTTTATCCCCTCAAAAAAAAAAATGATGATGTCATCTCAAAATTTTGCCGAATAAATCCTCTCTGCACTATACAAAATATTATAACTCTGTACTTCTGGTTTATCAATGCACTCACAGTTTTTAGAAGTACTCATAGAAGGTGACTCAAAAAATTAATGATTGAGAGGCAATGTATTGTATCAATTAAATCAAGAACGACCACTGCATATTTGTGGTACCGTAGCTCCGAATAAACCTATTTCAATGAGAGTTTTTTTGTGTCAAAGTTGGTTTAATAGGGATGGTTCTTAGCTATGTTTGATTATAAATCACTGGAGTCATTTCAAGATCATCAATTCACAACACAGTTGGTGTATGAATCAGCTCGGTTCGCAAGAAGCTGGGGACAGCGCGTCAACCGTTGCAGCGAATCTTAACCATTTTAAAACTTCTGCAGTTTTTAAATACTAACACTTGTGAGCTATGACTTCATGCTCATTTTCTTTTCAATGAATTGCTAAATATAAATTTTATCTAACGTATGACGCATCGAAGCGATGGTGATTTTAAAATTTGTTAAATCAGACCCAAACGACAAGATGACAACGAAACACAAAGTAAAGGAGGATTTGATAATAAACTTAGATGCGTTTGAAAATACGTTAGTTATGTCTTCACTTTATACATTATTTGACCGACTTAAAATTGAAAAATATAAGTTTTAAATGAGGTGCACAAATAAACAGTCGTGTGTTTAAATGTGAAGTTGCATGAATTGGAGTGAAAGTAAAATTCAAGGTAACCAAATTGAAAAGAAACTCATCAATTAAGTAGACCTTATTACATGCTAAAAACTACTCAAAAAGTTATTAGCAATGAGTTTCGACCAAAATTGTCAATTTTGATAGGCTAGAGAACAAGGAAAATATAAAATTTATTTCACCGTCATCTTGTACGTATGTCAAGACCGTAATTAGTCACCTTTATTTGCTACCGCATTAGAGAAGTATATTATAATAGATACATACATACATACATACATACATACATACATACATAGCATGATTAGCATGTACTAATTAGGTACGTACTTACTCTGAATGCGATTTTTTAAGAACTTTAAAATTCCAAGGAGTAATAAGCACACAGTTAATGTATATGTCATTAATAAACCAACTTCTAGAAACTGTGTTTTCTCGTTGTTTCGCATTATTCTGTAATAAATTTTACTAATTAGTTAATATAATGCACACTTTTAAATGTGACACTTGGTGTCACCGAAGTTTATGTTCATTTTATGATATCTTGGTTTGCATACACGTCATCCGTCATATAACACACATTTCCTTGGACTTTTTTCTCGGGCAAATCTAAACGGCTGTAACTATTTGACTGTTTAGCTTCCAAAATTACTTGAAATACCACTTTGCTAAAAATATTCACATGTGTTTGGAGTTTACTTCGTTCCCGCTCCAGCCTTTTTTTTAATGATCAAATCAAGAGTGGTTCATCCTAAGTATTTTCCAGAAAATTTGAGAATACAGTTAATATTATACTGAACTTATTCAAACTGATATAAGTGTCCTTCTTAAAATGTTGAGAAGGTCCACTTTTTTTCTTTCTATTATGTACGAACAGAACGCGGTCTTACAGATTTAATAGTGCACAGTATTAGATACGTGACACCATAAACTTGTAGGAAAATGCTTTATAGTGTTTTGTTTTGTCTTTTTTCTCTGAACTTTGCCGATGTGTATGCTTTTGAATAATAGAGTCTTCTTGATATTTGTAGGTAGGTATATCTAATTTGTAAAACTATGAAAGATATGTTCTCTAACTGCAACGGTCATTTTCTTTCCACATTGAAATCTGCAGGTTTCTTTACATAGTAGGTACGTCTAATTTAAGACCTTTAGCTGGTGCTTCTTTTCCATTATAGGAAGTGTACGCTTGTCCACGTTCTCTAACTATAGCAGCTTTGTTCTTCTATTCTTGTTCAATTCTTGTCTTTTTTTTTGTAGTCTTTTTTTTCAACGCAAACGTCTTTTGTTTCTTTCGGTTTTTTTTTGCACTGGTTCACCGTGTACTGGTCAAAGGATATTGTAAACTCTCGTTCGCTACATATTCGTCACAATTTCAGTACCTATGTAGAAAACATGTTGCATGTTAAATCTAACAGGTCAATATGAAGATCTTTAGATGTGTAACGCTGATTGGGTAGAACCACGAGGCAGAACGATAGAAAGGGAATTAGTCTCAAACCCTTTTAAGTAACTGGTGAACATCGACCACCTTGTAAAATTTTATGACTTAAGCCGCTTAAACCAAAGCACCCTTATAAATCAAACTGGCTATTGTAAGCTTTATGGACTCGAACCGCAAGGATTATTATTGTCCATTGTTGCCATAATGGAGCTGTGAACTGAGTTAAGTTAAACAGTAGCCAGTTTGACTTATAAGGGTGCTTCGGCTTAAGCCGCTTAAGTCATAAAAGTTTTACAAGGTGAAGTTACAATACACTTTTTCGTAAAAGTGAAGATGAAATGCAAGATTACGACTTCTAACACAGATAAAGTGTGTTAAATTGCTTATTACGAGACTTTAAAGTGTATCATAAATTTTTGTTTGTGTTTTAATTAGAAATAAATACCAAGTGGGAATGTTTGTAACAAAATATATTTCATAATTAAAAATAAACTTTTAGCATCCTAAACATAATTATTCAATTCAATTTTTCCCTGTAGTTATTGAGGCTACTGCTAATAAACTTTAAGGTACAAAGTGTTTTTAAAATAATCCTACATAAACAGTATGTATTATACATATTTAATCTATAGAAAAAACAAACCTGAAAATTTTCCTACTAAAATATACTATATTTATTTTAAATATCCTCTTCATCTGTTAGAGAAATTATACTTCCAAAAATATGTGAATTCTTCTCTAATTTTTTTACACGCTTAACTGAATCACCATTTTCTGACAGTTGTGAAGAATTTCCCTCAGCAGATGGTTTTGCCACAGAAAAACGTCTGTTTGTTAATTCTTGTTGTTCTATAGTGGGACTGTAATTTTATTTGGTGTTGTAATTATCAGAGCAAACAGTTGCAAGACAAACATGGAATAATTAAGGAAAAAGTCAAATACAAGCAAAAGTATTAAACATACAAACTAAACAAATAAATCATTAAGCAAAATACCTCATATGATTTGTTTGCATTGGAGCACTGTCAGAATCTGAACTTTTTACACGAACTATTTTTGGGTCGTTCGGTTTTTCTTCAAGCGACTTATTTCTGCGATGTCCTCGTCTGGGAGTGTGAATACTAGAATTGTAAACAGCATATGCTTTTATTCAATAAATATAAAGCAATAATTACTCTGTCCTAATTTGCCTTTTGTCTAATTCTTTCTGAATAGATTCGGGTATAGGCAAAGGTGATTTTGAACTTTTTTCGAAATCTGAATTTGACCAAGTAGTACCTAATTCTGAGTCTAGGCTATTGAGGATTTCTGCAGAAAATGCAGGCCTGGCTGGGATTAGTGGTGAACTGCAGCAAACTCTGAAATTAAAAACTTTAATACTTTAATACAAACGGAAGCGAAAGCACGTACGAATTAACCTCTTCTAATTTCTTTAACAACCTTTCGTTTTCTCGGCAAACAACTTCATGATCTCTCTGAAGCATTTCTCTTGATGAAAATAATTCAGAATTTTCACGGCGCAACGCTTCATTTTCAGTCATATATAAACGGACAAGTTCTGCTAGTTGTGGACCTTCTAGTTTTGCTAACTGTTCTAGGTCAACGTGCGGTGGAGTTATAATAAGTCTTCTTTCTAAAATCAATATGTATTTACTTTGCTTTACTTTTATTAACACAGAGTTACCGACGAAGCGTGACAAAACACATAGAGAAGTTTTCGTATACTTTTTATGGAATTTACTGCTTTAGTTTATCTAATAAAACAAACTTTTTGTACTTTTTACTTTCCGAGCTAAGGAAGGATAGTAATCGGAGGAATGGACACTGTAAAGTAAAAACCAGCGGCATAAGCTGGTTTTTACTTTACAGCGGTTATTTCAAAACGAAAATCGTAAAATCAAATTTTATCGTTTTTTTAAAGAGCTGGATTTGTCGAATTATACTTAAAGGGAGAGGGAAGTTCTGTCGAAATAGCCTTCGACTAATTTTTTCCTCAAGTAAATTACTGCTACAATTTATCTGAAGTTGACACCTTTGACAATTGTAGAACCAACATAAAACTATTGGTCTAAGTTTATTTAGACAGAACTTCCCTCGCCTCTAGAGTATAATCAAATAGGTAAATGCAGTTTCTTAGATAAATTGTAATATTTTATTTGGCGAATATTATTTTTAATTATAACGATGATGATAAACAAAAAGCACGTCATGCGTATGTTTCAAGTGGGTTTTTCTTAATAAAATGTTGTGATGACGGTATCAAAATTTTGGTAGGGAAAATTGCGTGTGTGTGTGTTGTATTCATAAAATTTCAGGAAAATGATATAAACGTTTTTATTTAAGTAATCAATAAAATAAGTCACTTTATTAATTTTTCAACACATCCTATAGAAGCAGTTCTAGAAAATACGAGTATGATTATACTGATAAGTAAACTAGAAGGTAGGATTTACGAGTATGTAGAAAATTTTAAAATGGCGTCATCAAGGTTTTAGAAGGAATAAACAGAAAAATTTTATTAGAGATTTAACATATGTATGAGCGACATCCTTTACGCGTTTGCAAGACTCCAGAACAGGCGTTTTAGTTTTTAGTTAAATTGTAAAATGGCGTATAATTTTGAAAAATTTTCCAAAAATCTAGATGTCCAAGGTAAAACACAGAATTTATCTAGCGAAAATTTTGGAATGAACCTTTATACAATAATATTATCATAATACACTTACGATTTCAGAACAATAAGTTAAGCAGACTCAGAAATTATGTATTTAATAAAGTCGCCAACAGACGATAGACAGATGGAAACGGGAGAAAAACTTTTTCATAATCCATGAACTACGAAATATCAAGGAGACATGAAATTAGTCATTCGCCAGTTGAAGAATAGAGTTGTAGAAATAATAATAATTATAACAAATTAGCTACTTTTGTGGTAACAGTGGATGCAACAATTTTTACTCTAATTAATTAAAGGTAAAGTTTCACTAGTTTATAATGTATTAATGTATTCTCATTTTATGAAACTTACTAGATCTTGTTTAAAACATTGGTCGAAGATTGTTTCGACATAACTTCCCTTGCCCCTGAAGTAGAATGAAATATATCCAGCATTATCAAAAAAAAAATATGATTACGTCATTGGCATTTTTGCAAGGACACATATATCAACTTGGGTTGGTGCAGTGTAATACTAATAATAACAGTATTGTAATTGACTCATTCACTAATTTTTTTGATCCACTTGTGTAAGCAAATCTAAAAATTATGAATGCAATAATAAATCACAAGTATAGAGTCATCATATTTTGTACATTTGAGATAGATTTATTCGGCAAAATTTTAAAGTGACGTCATCAATTTTTTGGTGGGGATAAGCAAATATTTTGTGATGAAAAATTTACAATGCTTATGATAACTTTAAAACATCTGGAAGATGCAGCATTCGGTGTTATAGATTCAATGTTAAATTGTAAAATGTTGTTATAAGATTCTGATTGTTTTTTCCAAAAACCTGGACGTTTCAGGTAAAAACTCAACACCGATTCATAAACTACACGTGTAGAATTGTTATTTTATATAATTTAAAATCCATTTACTATCTACAATGTTGAGGTGACATCATCACATTCTTGGTGCGGACGATTATATAAAGTTTGGTCAGTATTTTACCATCAAGATGATATTCGTAATACACATATAAAATTGGACAATCGATCCGGTAATTTTGGAAATGATCTGTCTAATAAAAATTGACACAGACGGTGGACGGACAGACAGACAGACAGACGGAAACGGGAGACCTGTTTTATGCTCGGTAATTAAAAATATCAAAACGATTTCGTAACAAATACAAGTGGTAGTTTCTTTTAAAATCTTAATGATAACTCTCGAGTCATACGCTTTTACTAATCATTGTCTGATTTTTGATATTTGTAATTTTTGAGGCGTTTAGCGACGCCTGGGCCTGACTAGCATAGAATATCACGTGGTACCGCGTTCCAATGCTGCAGTTTTTAAAAAAGAATAAGACATTCATATGTTAGGCTACAAAAGTGTGAAAGAAATAGTCTTAAGTCTAAAAATTATTGGAGGTATAAAAGCAGAAGCAGGGTATGCGGAAGTTCGAAGTTCTCACCAAATTTTAAGGAATCTGAATGACATTTTAATTTTTAATGATGTATACATTTAAAATAATAATAAGATAATCATGTCCAACGTATATGTATATTATAATACCTTAACAAATATATTTAGAATGTTTAAAATGTTACAGTTTGTTACTTACTGATTTATGATAATCAAATAAGAAAACCTAGGTAACTCAAAATTCAAAATACATAAGACTACAACTTCATGAACAATTTTTTCTTTAGAAACGACAAATTTATTTATTTCGTTATCTCGAATTATTTAGCACAACCGCTTCAGTTTGTTGTCATGAAATAAGAGATAAACAATGAACAACATACTGGTACGTATTTTCTTATCTTGTTAGTTCAAAGATAGTGAAAAAAAAATGCAAATATTTTTTTATAAAAACCTGTTATTTAGAGTGCAATGGAGATTTTTAATATAGTCCATTTTTACTAAAAGATAACGTTAAATTGAAGAATATGTGCTGATAGATAAAGATAACATGGTTTCATAAAAAACTTTAATACCTCTGGTGGGACTCGAACCCACAATCCTCGGCTTAGGAGGCCGATGCCTTATCCATTGGGCCACAGAGGCTCGCAGTTTTAGTTAAAATTGTTTAGAAAGACTGAGAATAGTTTAAAATTTAATTTTAAAAACCAACCTGTTGGTAAATCTCCTGTAGTTGACCCTGAATAAACGTTTAAAGCCGAACGTAAATGTTCGTTTTCGCTTTGTAGTACAGTCACTTCTCTTTTGAGACTGAGTATTAAAGCCTCTCTAGGATCCTAGAATAGCAAAAATAAAACATAAAGAGGTATACAAAAATGTGCGCAGTTTTATAATGTGCATATTTATATTAAAATTACCATCAACACGACTGGTTTCGTTCTAATTTTTTTCGCTCGGGCGGCATAGCGCAAGGTGTTTAAGGTTTCGCTAATGTTAGATCTGGCCGGAGATATACAGGCGATCTGAAAATAAATCATTTTATTATTAGGTTATATTGATAACACACTTTTCAACAATACCATGAGTGTCACTCCATTTCCCGCTAATGAATCTGCTAATAACTTCGTTAACTTTGAGTCTCTGTATGGTATATGCGAACTCTTCCGTTTAGTGTCACTTAACGATGAGATGCAATACCCTAACAAATATAAAAATAGTAAAAACGCGAAAACAGCTACATTGTCTTTTGTTTTACAGTCATTATTTTCTTTAGTTTAACAAATGCAGTTATAAGATAATATTTTTTATATTTTGTAAGTAATTTGGGCTGTCTAACTGCATGCACTGCCATGTTTAAAACTGATTTAGAAGTCAATGATTAATTTAAAAAATCTGTGGATAAAACACTCAGTTGCAATACACTTACAAGCTTCTGTTTTCAGATGAACACGACTATTTAATTGGTTTAATTGTGTAGGTAATCTGTATTTGTTAGTAAGCAATGAACTACTTTAATTAATGTGATAAGGACTAATACGCTCACAACTGATAATAAAACTGTTGAGAAAATTAGTTATTAAACTATTATTGACTTCCTCCAACGTATTGACTTTTATAAGTGAAAAGTGAAAAGGTCTTTCATCGATAATGCATGTTCCATTGAATCTGATATTTGTTTCACGAGTTCGAGTAATTGGATTCTTACGAATGACAATGAATATGCATAATTTACTACACTGAGTGTTTGTCTTAACTATTTATAAATGAGTTTCTATTAGTAGCCAGTTTTTTATACATAAATAAAACAAACAAAAAAGTGGTATTTTTACCATCATTCTTAACCTAATCTAATCCAATTTATTAACTTACCAAGAACCATGAGACTTTTATTAATATTATTTGCTTCCTCTAAAGTTTTGCCTTCACTTTGTGTCTTTTTAGTCATTTCACTTCCTGCCAAATCCACAAAATTAATTTTACCAGATCTAGACAGAAAAACTCCACCTTCCGCTGGTTCTTCAGACGTAATATATACCGTAAGAATTGTATGACTTCGACTATGACAACAAAATTTTCTAATAATCGCTTCGGTACAACGAATAATTTACGTACCTCGAAAATTCATTCATATTGTGTTTTCCAATGGCTCGATTTCGTAATCCCTCTTCTAAAACTGCTATTAAATCGTCCAATTCTTCACAATCGACAGTGAAAAGGTTTTCAACAAAAAAACCTCTAGCTTTTTTACTCCACCGTACTGCAAGAGGTTTCCTTGCACTTCCAGGATTCAATAGATCTATAACCTGAAAAAATTAAAATAAAAAAAAATGTTTGCATCGGCCGGGAATCGAACCCGGGCCGCCCGCGTGGCAGGCGAGCATTCTACCACTGAACCACCGATGCTTACACGTAGCATTGGTCTATTACATGATTGTAAGCCCGGTTACGCCAAACGTGTTCAAAAATTTGTGTCAAGGGGGTGGTTGTCTTTTATTTTATTGTTTTTTTTTCGTATGTCGCAGTTTTTGTTTCCGTGTTCGAGATAATTGTCATTTCAATGTCAAACTCACTTTAAAGGTTGTTAATTCGCAACAGTCGATGTGACAACCGGGTAACAGCTTTCAAAATTCATTTCGGAAACGACATACGAAAAAAGCAAAATCTGGTGACACAACCCTCTTGACCTGGATTTTATTTAGACACTCGATCTTAGCCGTGCATAGGGGAATGAATGGCAACACATACCAAAATTTTAATAAAAGACGGAAATATTATTATATTACACAGTAAAAACAAATATTTGTGCACCTATTATGATAAAAAAATAAAATAAGTCAACAAACAATGTTCAGTATTTCCACTTAAAAACTTTCAAATTAAGTACTTAGTAATATTGTTACTGATACATTTTATGTATAGTAATTCTAAATTAATTTCTTTAATGCCTACATAATTTATAAAAAATAAAAACAAAACATTTTACGTATTATTTGAGTTGAAAACTGACTGCACATATTGTTAAAAAATGTTGTCAATGAACATTCTTTCGTTTTTTACGAAGTTTCGAAAAGAGCTTGCCAGAACTTCAGAGAAAGTAGATGACTTGCAGAAATTTAGAACCTCAGAAGAAATATAAATACATTTTGTAAGTACATCAATTAATACTAATGTTTTTGGTACACATGGAGGTAGTGCTAAAAATAAACGATAAGCTAAATGTACGAAATCTCGCAGTACAAGATGAATCCTTCACCACAGATTTAGTATTTATTTATTTATTTGTCTTAAATGACGTTGTCAGTAAAGTAGTAAAGATAGACATCTCGGTTTTGAAATGTTTAATCTAATGATGACCACATAACTGCGTCCTTAAAAATAAAAAAGTAAAAAAATTACCTGTTTCTGAGAAAACTGGTAAAAAAAATCTGTTTATTTTCTTAACCAACATTGCAACATTGGTGTTTTATCAAAATTTCAAGAAGTTTTTCATGTTCTCTCTAAACGAAACTATAAAATTTGGAAAGTCCATAACCTATTATGTAAATTTCAAAATAACTAACAACTGAATTGTACACTTATTTAACAACATTTTGAAATGAGAGATTTTTTAATGACGGCATCCGTTTTTTAGATAAAACTAATAGAGTTTTTGTGAAAATCGTACGACACCAAATACTGGCCAATAATGATACAAAATTTTCCTGAAAATTTACCTACGTTCCATTTTCTTGATCATGGTGGAATCTTTCACCTTGTTCTTCGCTTACAGATCCTAAATTATCAGAAAGTAGTAGCTTAAATGAGAATGAAGAAAGTGAAGTTTAGGCTCACAAGGATAATCTTGGAAAATTTTGAAGCATGTTATTTATAATTTCTTCATGATTTGGGCTTCTTTGGTTTTCTAAGAAGTTTATAATAACTCCTTTTCTATAGAGTTCAGTTTTTTATCAAAGTTTTCGTCTTCTATCACTTTCTTTTATTGGGGCTATCCAAAATGCCTTCTTATAAATGCTTTCTTGATTCATAAAGTAATTACGATGAGTAAATAGGAATGTTTTTTTAAACATACCCTCATCGACTTATTGATAATGAGATGAAGTTGTCCGTTTTTTTACTACATATTTAATCTAGACATTATTACTCAATGACCTTAATGAGATAGTTATTTTAATGATACATACAAATTAATGAAAATTGATCTGTTATAACAAAATAAACTCTGTTTTAGGTCATAGTTATAAATTTAACTACATAGATATACGTCGTCCTCAAACTCACTTCCTATACAAGAAAATATCAAAAATATAGAATTAAAATTATCAAAAATCCTGACGTGGCGGAATTTTTTCACAATTTTTCTCCTAATCAGCCCACCAAAGCCTATAAGAATCGCTATACAAATTTTAGAAAGACAATTCTTTGTAGATCTGTGTAATTCAACATAATGCTATGTAATAACAATTATTTAGTGTTTGCCAGTAGCAGACAGCCTCGTTCTCAGTTTTTCTTATAGTATTGTTACAAAAGAAGTCCATATGCCGCCCCGGTACGACGCCTATGGGTTCTAGTATGTACGGCGATGATGACTCATCGCCGATGACGACGACCTGGCGGCGTTCGTTACAGAAAAGTCTAGAACGACGTCGAGTACATAATCGCTATATAATTCGACGTGTAAATTTGAGTTACTAAGAAATAAATTGTTGAAGTTTATCCATGCCGATTTTTAATCACCCGATAATCGTAACGGTACTTATTAATTTAAGGTCAAAACTATACTTCACAGTGAGCAAATGATAACACAAACTTGTAAAATAATTTGTTTTATCTTTTTAGTATTTAAATTTAGAAAAATAGAAACATGGCGTAATTGTTTGCCTATACAGAATGCTTCACAAGGAATAATGAGCCTGAAAAAATTTTTGATGCAGCCAACAATACTTTGCACAGCTTATGGAGATCCAAAATTCTATTTTTAATAAATATATATTTAAACATAACAAGCATATCTAAAAGTTTGTCAGTTTTGACATTAAAATTATAAAATACTACTAATAAAAATATAAATTAAGTGAAATACTAACCCAAAAAGTGTTTTAATAACGAACAGCACATAAAAAACAAAGCAAATCAGTTAAGAAGATGTTGAAAATGCTGTCTACCACTTCTTCGTCAATGCGGTTCCAGAAAGATTTTGTCACTTTCAAAAGCATCGCTGACGTTACAAATCCCTCAAGCGATGTGACAGATCTTCTCTATTGTTAATAAGTGTTGGTAGACGCGATCTTTGACCATTCCCCATAAAAAGTAATCTAGTGGAGTTGTATCAAAACTTCTAGGGGGCAAGGATTAAATGAACCCCTACCTATCCACTTAAATATCTGCGTCTAAATAGTGCCTGGCGTCTCTGTGGAAATGCGGGGGTGCGCCATCTTGTTGAAACCACATGTTTTGTCTTCTTTGTAAATATACCTTTTCTAACAACATTGGTAGAATGTTTCTCAGAAAATCTGAATACACTGGACGATTTAATCTTCGCAAAAAAATATGGTCCTATAATTTTGTTCACGTTTTCTAAAAAGTTTTGATGGTTTGTTCCTGAACATATCGACAAAAAATAAGTCTTTTAGGGTGGTCTGCCTCCTTAAGCCCTTGGACTAAGGTAATATGATTAGGATGAAACTTATTTTTCTTGACAATTCTGCAAACAGAAGACTAATGCCTACCCTTCTTGCCAATTCGTATTATCCCACATAAGGTTTCTCCTCAAGAATTTAAACAACTTCTAGTTGGTGTCCCTCACCGGTAGCTACCCTTGTTGTGATATTAGCTCTCAACTAATTCTCCAATCTTTTAAAAATCGTGTCTTTTTTCGGAGTTTGCTGAGCACAAGCCCGTGCAGCAAGGGATACATTCTTCAGACATTCTCCATAAAATCGTGTATGTCTTCTCATCATTTGAATAGGTCCCTTAACATTTTGTACAAATTATAATAAATCTGTAGAGTTTATCAAAAAATGACGTTGATAATTATTCATGACCATCGTGGATTCAAACTATGACTTTTTAAAGAAGTATAGCGAAGTAAGCTGTGAAAAGTATTTTTTTCAGGCTCATTATTCCTCGTGAATCACCCTGTATAATTTGTAATGGTTTATCCACTTTTTGGAATTATTTCTTTAATAACATAACCTCGTGTATTGCACGAAAAAATGGGTAACCAGTATTATGGTTGTTTTCCTACTGATGGAATTAACAAATGTTTAGATGATTACATTTTTTCAGGCTAAAGAATAATATTGGAAAGAAAATGTTGTACGAGTAATGAGTATGATATTACGAGTAATAATAGGCATCAGACTTGTCTGGCCGCTTTCGTGCTGCCTAATTTAATTACATGAAAACAGGAATACCATTTTTAATTTTCTTAAAATGTAGCACAACTTTCAATGTGTTTTACTTTAATTATAATGATAAAAAATATGTTCAACGGGCAACGGCCCGTAATACATTATGAAATTATTCATTTAGTGCCTAGATATATGTATATACAATAATGTACATAAAACATAGTATTAAAGACGATTGTATATTAAAATTTTATATCAAACGTACCTTTTCGTTGTATATCTCTAAGTAACTTGCTTTAAGAATGAAATGAACATCAGTTTTTTCCTGGATAAGTTGAAACAAATAAAGGAAAGATCTAAGAATAAGACCATGTTTTTCGCTAAAGGGTGCAGGTCGTATTCCAAACTGCAATAATATCGTTACTAATATTGGTCGAATATAATACGAATTTTAATACATACTAAACCAGGGGGACCTGTTAGAGTGTGTGTTTTTCCACTTCCCGTTTGTCCATAACAAAAACACGTGCATCTAAACCCTTCCAAAGCCATTTCGATTAACCTTTTCATGCCAGAAAACTCCAACACATCGTCCTGCGTTGCAGCAGGTTCAAAAACTACGTTATAAGAAAAAAGTTTTGGTTTTTGTCCACCACTAGGTCCTCCTGGTATTCCATCCACCTATAGATAATTAAACTTTAATAAAACAATACATAGTTAATGTGCATGTTTTTACTAAAACTTGGCCATTTCCTGGAAATTGTATCACAGACGTGTCCCCTGATTTCTTTTCCCGATTGCTTAGGGGTCTGACCCTAAAAAATAAGAATTATTAATAATATCACGTGAATAGTTTGTGTATTTTAGTACGCACGAACTGAATTAGCAGGGAAACGAACATACATAATTGATCAAAAAACTTTTATATGAATCTATATAAAGATATATCTGAAACATATACTTAGTAAAAGAACTCACCTGACAACTACATTAATATTATCTTCTGTTTGATTGTAACTGGTAATTATTCTTTGTAGATTGTTATCGTCGTCGAGTCGTTCTATACTACCACAACTAAAAACAAATCAATCAGGTTTGGTAGGAATGTTAAAAGACGGATAAATCAATATACAAATTTATAGCATATTATTTATTAATAATGTTAAGATTATTACTAAAAACTAAGTAGTTATTAAGTTTTGACTTCGTCTACAACGTACTTATACACATGATTTATGTTTATGATTATTTGTACTTTTTGTTTTCTTCTTAAAGGTAAAAAAATGAACTATCGTAACTATTGATTCAGTTGCCCAATATTTTTAGTGTATAAAATAGGTTAATGGCGGTTAAGTGATTTCAAGAATGACTTTATTACGTTCTGGTTACTGCCACCAAAAGACAGCATAGTAAACTAGCTCGCTGCCGTTTTTTACAGGACATGAACTTTGAAGTTTCTGATTTCAATTTTTTGTAGTGTACATCGAGGAAAAATTTGTGGTCCCCAGATTTCCGCTTCAGAAAATTTTAAACATATTTATATTTATATATGATGTTACATATATATTTTTCGTTTTCGCCCATAAAGTGGACGTGTCTCTTATTTTCCAATGCAGCTGTTTCAGATCTGTTTTTTTCTCCACCTATTTACCTACGTTGACTTTTTAAGTCAGTTAACGCGAATTCTTTACTGTGTCAAATTTTTCGTTTTTCATGTGATACTTTTCTATCGTTCCAGCTTTTTGCTTTAACAGTAATTGAATCATCATTCTTGGTTTCGCTGGAAGTTAAAATTCCATCATTGATGGTGACGTTTGTTTTCCCATCTTCAAGAGTGTGCGATAGTTCTTCTGTCTTTACAGATTGTTATTGATAGTTCAATGTAATTCTGTAATGTAATGTACAGGTTGAACACCACGGATGCCTTGAGCTGCAAACACCAAGGCCGGGAGTTTACGTTGACGACTGTTTTGAAACTTTGCCTTCAAGCTTACCACCACTATCAAATTTATAGTTTTATTTTAAATTTAATCTCCTATTGTAAGAATAACAAATACAAATTACTTCAACACGGCACGTAGCCCATCTAATTGTCTGTCTACGCTTGTATTTTGCTTGTATTTAGGAAAATCTACCACTGTCGTGTAATAAACTATTTGGCACGCGTTTTCAACGACATGGACCGACGAGGTTCTTGTCAAATAGGATCTATATAATTTTATGAGGTATATCCTAAACGAACAGACTATAAGTTGAACCTATTATGACAAAGTATTTTATCCGGTTGTCAACTCGGGAAATGTGTAATATGTACAATTAATATTTTGGCAAATAATGTCTAATTTCATATTTTCTCAACGTTTCACAGCTCGTATGGTGCTAAAGTTTTGGCTTCCCGTTTCTGTCTGTTCGTTGGCAGATTGTGTTAGGTAAATGAACTATTTATTAGATTCACTACTATATATCGGGTGATCAAAACATTTTTAGATTAGAGTTGGCCATGGAAATATTTGTCTTAATTTTTTGGGGGGGTTGTATCGCCTGGCATGTAGAGGAACGGCAGCATCGAAATTTCCATCACACTTTCCCAAAGTTAAAAGCATATCGGTTTTTTCGAAATTCGAAAGCACTGTCAGCAAAAGTTGAAAATAATATGATGATTAGAATTAAGTTGTCATAATTTTGACACAATCATTGCCATCTACACGTTATTTATTATTTATAAAAAATTTAAGACGAAATCGTGTATGGAAAGTAAAATGTGTTGCTATTCGGACTTATCCAGGCGTGAACAGATAACATAATCACCCTTATTCCTTTATCGTGTAGGCGGTTAAATGTTAATCAAAATTTGTCTACTTTATCTCCATGAAAACTTTGACGACGTCATTTCGCCATTTTGTACATTATTACTTGAAGTTTCCATCGTAAGATGGTTTCGTTTTTTGTGATACTTTAATAATGTATCGACAATTTTAACCTTACTCACAGGGGTTAACGTAAAAAATAAAACTTGTAGAATGCAAGTTTACGTGTTAAATAAAATCTATACGACGAACTTTTGTGAAATTTTGATAATCCATTAACACTGAGTTAATGACTGTAGGATTTATTAAGATTTATTTTTTACTATGTATATACACAGTTTTGAAATTGGGAGTAAAATAATAATTACAAATGAGATAAAAGCATTGTTACTTTACAACTGTGAAATTTGTATTGTGTGGTCATAATGACATGCGTGTAATATACCTACGGAATTGTATTAGCAATATTAGAATTTGTTTAAAATTAAATTTAACAGCAACTTAATAAAATGAATTAAGAGCACCTGAATTGTGTTATAAGGAGTCAGTTACATTTAAACCTATCCCTTTCAAAGACGTTCGAACGAAGGCGATATTTTTACGTATAGGTACGCTTCATTATAACCATTAATTCATTATACCTACATGTTCTTTAACAAAGAAGCGTAGAAGATCAAACGAATACTTAAATTAAAGTGATAATAGAAGTCGTTATTGGTTATTATGTACCTTTATACCAACAAATTATTAGTTCCTTCAGTTGATTGTCCCGCTGATAATTATTTAGATTTGAAGGTCATAGTTCAAAGGTTGTTCGAGTTCGTGCAAATTCCATTTTGCCAAGTGTTTACGATGTTCTAAAAACTTTCACACACGTTATATGGATGCTAGCGTGGGGGATGTGTGCACAGCTTATTGATTACAATAGCTATTTTTATTTCCTGGTAATAATGTTGCACTGTTTGCATAAAAAATTGTGTCAAGTTTAAACTAAATAAGGAAGGAAATGAGTACAACATTATCGTTTAAAAGTTTAAAGAAGCTGTTGTTTCTGAAGTACAAACTTCTCATGTATGATAGAGATTATTTTCAATAAAAATTTTGAATTTTATAACGTGATCGTGTTCGAACAATTTAAAAAAAATGATAGGAGGCATATTTATGAACTATCCATTCGCTAAAATTTTGTCCTTAAATTTTTGTTTTAATTATTACTTGAAAAATAAAAATCAGAGCTCATTACTGAAACACGAACAAAACTATATTTTTCAGTCAGGATTTACTGACGAAGTGACGAGTCTTTTTTTATTACTTCATTGGTCAATATTGAAATAAAACATTTCTGAGGTATTAAGGGGTACAATATCTTTTTTGAAAGAGTTTGAATTTCTGACCGAATATGTAAAACAACGGATTGTTAAATTACTGATAAGAAGGTCTTGCAGTATGTTTAAAATAGAAATTATTAAACAATTTTGAAGATGAAGGCACACATTTTTGTGAAGGAATGAATATAAAATTTTAAGAGTGTTTTATTATCTAAAATGTGAAACAGACAAACGTCAGAGGGAAAACGACATTTTCGTGTTATACAAACTGTTTTTTAAAAAATTTCGGAGCACAAATTGCATTAAAAAATGTGTTTAAACTAAAAAATTCGTGATGAAGTTCCTACGAGTAAGTGACTAATCAATTTAAATGTTTTTTTTTTTGAAATTTATATGTATTGCATATTAAATCATTAAAAGTTATATGTAGTAAAGTGTAAATTTATGGTGTGGAATAGAATTATAAAAAGCAGTACAAAATATGTTGGTGGAGTTATTAGTTAAATTGGTTATACATTATGGTTCGAGAATTAAATATTTATTGATTTCATGAGTAGAAAGGAAATTATGTACTAATGTATTTATTTAATAGGTACGAGTTAAATTAACATAATATAATTGCTTATTTTTTTATAAGTATAACATATACAAAATATGATGCTTTTCGCTGGCATGGCATTCATTGTGCATGGTTTCAAGTCGATTCACCAATTGCTGAAATGTGTCGAAAAATGACTGCTTTCTTGTGACTTTAATGTCAAGCTTAGCATGACATGCGCACTAATATCCGAAAAATATAGAAGACCCTTTCAAATTTCTCATTTGTGCACTTTTAATGGTTTATTAATAAACAAATTAACTTTAACAGAAACAAACATGAAACTCGCAAGTCACCCGACGGATTCGATTACTATACTTCCTTAGCTCACGCTCAGGAAGTAAAAAAAAGTAACCAATCGTCCAATAGACTCAATTACAATACTTCCTTAGCTTACACTCATGAAGTAAAAACTAGTCGAAGTTTACGTAAGCAGTAGAAACTGATGCATGATCACTTCTGCATGTACATATTTTAAAGGGTATTTTTCTATAAAGATTTATTAATTCATTTTTCGAAGAGGTAACACACCCTTTCTTAGCGTCATATTTTTCTACGATTTTCAGAGAAATTAAATGGGCCGTTTTTTAATAAGCGAAAAAATTAAATGGGGTGTTTTGTGAGAAACCTTCAAACACAGGTAAATGTAATTTTGTAAATTCAATATGTTTGCGATAACCCCTACGTGTTAAAATGAAAATGGGTTGGATTATTAAACCACATATATAAATCGTGCTTTGCTGCATGATTCAGTACGATTTTCTGATAAAATTTAATGATCACACCATCAATTTTTCATTGAAACAAATACAAGTTTTGATTTGCACAGCGTAACACAAATAATAGCAGTACTGTAACCTCATTTGACATACACCTGTTAAAACTTTTATGACTTAAGCGGCTTAAGCCAAAGCACCCTTATAAGTCAAACTGGCTATTGTAAGCTTTGTGGACCCGAACCTCAAGATTATTACTGTCCATTGTTGGCATAATGTACACTCACCGGCAAAAAAAGCGAATCACCCAAACATGGGCGCCGGCAGGGGGGTGCAAGGGGGTGCACGTGCACCCCCCTGGCTTAGTATAAAATACACACTTTAATTTAAATCCAAATTGCAGTCTTCTAGGAAGTGGATAATAGTTTTTGAAATGGCTTCCGCATTCAGTTCTTGCAGCACATATTCTAAAAATTCTTCGCAAATTATTGAATTTTTATTATCTTGATCACAACGCAAATATCGAACTCCAATCGATAATTGTTCTGTGCCATTAATATTAGCAGTCTCATCAGCCAACACCTAAAAAACGGATGCCTGATTCACTTCCTCAATTATTTTGCTCTTCAGAACATCAGAACAAGTTTCAATCAATTCATTTTGAATTTGATGCGATATATACAAAGAGTTTCTTTCTCCTGATTCTAAATGATTTTTTTAAATTTCATCCCCAGATTCAATTCGAAAATGGAATAAATATACTATATCCTATAATGTATGGGTGCACCCCCCTGCAAATAATCCTGCCGGCGCCCATGCACCCAAAGTTTGTCTTGAAAATGGTTCCTTTTCAAAATGTAATGTAATGCACACCAGAATGTATTGAAGATTTCTACAAAAATACTAATGAATCGATTTTTTTGCCGGTGAGTGTAGCTGTGAACTGAGTTAAGTAATACGATAGCCATTTTGACTTACAAGGGTGGTTTGGCTTAAGCCGCTTAAGTCATAAAAGTTTTAACAGGTGTATGTCAAAATGAGGTTATTTTACTGTATTTCCAGAATTAAAAAAAAATAAATAAACCGTTTTTGATTTAGCCTTACAATAAATATCTTCTTTCATTAATATTGTGAGACATCCTCTATAAACAAACATATGCAATATAAGATGAGGAGACGTTACGTTTTCTGAGTGGAATTTTCGTTCTACTTTCAGAATGTAATATCTGCGTTATTAACAGACTTATGGTTTTGAAATTTTAAATATATGTTGTCCATAACTTTCTTTATATAACGCAAGGGCAATTTTGTTAAAAACTGTTTGTAATCATATTTTTCTTTTAATTTTACGGAAATTTTTGCATAACGTATTTTTTTAAATCAGTATCTCAATTATTAAAGGAAATTTCGGATCATGATTTTGAATACTGTTTGCAGCTTACAAAACTCCAGAAATCATACCAGATATATCGTCGATTTATTTTGTTAGAAACGATACATAAAAAAACTTGTGACATAGAAGTTGCTAACTTTTATTTTTACTATATCTCAGTCCCAACAAATAAAGTTAAAAATAGACCTAGTACGATTTCTAAAGTTTTGCAAGCTAAAGACAGTAATGACAACCCCGTTCCAAAATTTCCATAAATAACTGAAATATTGTTTTTTTTAAATACGTAAAAATTTCAACAAAATTTAAAAACCACCTATATGATAATCAATTGTTAAAAAAAACTGCCCTTGCAGTGGTAATAATGGAAATATTACATTTTGAAAATATATCGACAACACCACAAGAGCCAAACGTAGCGACTCCTCTTAATAAATTTTTCAAATGACGTCATCAGTTTGTTCTGGGTATAAATAAATACATGTTAATCGATGTTGCGAGAATCTGAAGTTAGTTACGTTATTATTTTTATGTTGGCTCGTGTACGGAAGGTTAAAAATATGTACGTATCAACTACAAGCAAGTCACTATATAAATTTCAATAATAGTTAGAAAAATTTTGAAATGGTATCATTTAATTTTGGTTAACGTTTTACTACGATATTGTTGTCCTACAGTTTCAGAGACTATCTGAACTATCTGTCTAATAAATTCACCAACAAACAGGGAAATAGGTGGTAAATTAACCAAAAAGAAAGGCCGATATTTTCATATTTTACAAGCTGTGAAAGATCAGGAAAATAAGAAATTAAGTTTCCGTTAAAATTGATAATGATAACCCTGATCTGACGGTTCCCTCATGTATATTATCGAAAAGCTAAAACGCGAGTTAGAGTAACCTGCTGAGTCATAAAGTGGATCTAGATGTTATATTTTCAGATATTTTGCCTATTATCATTCAAATTCAATAAAACAAGTATAGAGAGGACCAGTGGAGCACCCGGAGAAACTGGTTGGAGCGGAGGGGTCGGCAGAAGAGAGTTGGGTATGATAATTAACACTGAAGTAATAAATATTTCATATATATTGATTATATTGCAAACAAAAATACAAGTTACTTAATTATTACTTAATTTTCTAGTAAACTGAAAACTGTTTTATCCACTTCCTCGTATGCTTCATTGAAAACACACTATTTTATTGAATGAATTATAGTTGATGTGAGTATTTTGTGATACCATTTTAGCGATTGAAAGTCTTGTTTTGTTAGACTATAAATTAGCATTTTACTTAGTAGATTACCTCCACCAAATTTCATTTGTTCAGTGAATAGATAGACGGATAAATTTGCTGTATTCTACAACATTATTATAATAATATTATTTCATTTGTAAATTCGGCGTTTAGCAGAATAAAAAGCCTTCGCGACAACATTTTTAATAATAATATTATACTTGTTTTTATATTTACGAACTCTAGGTTTCACATAAGATAAAAACTTACTCGCTTCCTCTAGACTTAGGTAAATCTTCCCGGAATTTCGCGGGACTATTGCCTCTCGATTTTGTTGAATTTTTTTTGGGAGTTAGTTTCCTTTGGTGATTTGGGCTATCCTGCAACTTTGTTGGTGTAGTCCGCACAGGACTTCGAGCTATTCTGCTTGGAGATTGAACAGGACTAGCCTTTGTACTTCTACCTGAATTTCTTGCGGGACTGGTCCCCCGCGATGTTGGAGGGGTTTTGTACAAATTTCCTGGACGTGTTACCATAATTATAGTTTTACCTAAAACAATACATAAATCAATGGTTTAATGCACCAACTTGAGAACGATTTTTGTTTATCGCAACTTATATGGTTTATTTCATGAAAAAACACACAATTTGACCAAAAGGTGCACTTTTTATGCTTTTAAGAATATGTTACATATGTTTGAGTTTAGTACAAATTGTCTTTTCTTCCAAAAATCATATTCGAATATTTCACCTATGGGCCTTGACTATCTAGGACACGTTGTTTTAGCAACAAGTGTTACTTATTTTTATTTAAATGGTTTTATGAATAGATAAAACTGTTGCTATTCGAGCGTCAGCAATTCTTATGATTTGTAGAGAACCATATACTCAAATAATCAAACAGAGGACGGATATACAGCGTGTTATTAAAAGGTACGTACAAAATAAAATCGGCAATTGGTCTCGAAGTATGGGTGCTAAAAGTTAAAAAAAGTTCAGGTAAAAGTGTTCTCCTTTTAGAGATAAAAATTATTAAAATTTATGTCCAAATTCGTTGAACGCCTCTGATAAAAACATCATCTCTCGTTTCTATAGCAACATTTAGTCTTGACAAAAGTTTTATTGTTACAGTTGCTAGGGTTTATTAAAATAGATTAACTTTACCTATTTATCTTTCAGTAGCGTCTAAAAAGGTTGGATAAGGGTTAATTTTCCCCTTATAATTTTGATAACACAAAATAAGTTTTTCAGATTTCTTAGACCTCGCGAAAAACTGTCAATTTTGTTGTACGTACCTTTCAATAACACCCTGTATTAGAAAATAAAATTACCGATTCTTTAGTTTTTCATGAAATTTTAGATGATCACGTTTCCTTAAACATGTCACGGAATCAGATTGAATCAATCATGGGCTCATGGAACATGCGGTTAATGAAGATTCTAATCCAAATAATCAAAAATTAATGCTCCGCGGCCCCGTCCTATGTATTTACTTTACCCATGGCTGGTGCAAATATTCTCAGGCAAATATAGTCAGATAATCAGTCGGCTAGAATCAAGACAGAGACCGAGGGGTCACTTAATCTTGCACCTACAGATTTTCTCCTTTAGTGTCATGTGAAATATATCAATGAATCGTAATGAATATCATCACAAGCTGCAGATATCTTATTGAAGTAATTATCAGACTTCGGCATAGCGAAAGTGATGCTCATTGCCGTCTGATCGCCAGCGCTATTGCAGTCGTGGCCTACAACTTCGGGCATTCTTAATAACAATTACTACTTTTTCTAGGTTTTCCTCAGTTTTACGAGTTCTCCTAGATGTTAAAATGCTTTAAAAATTAAAAATGACGGATCAACATCACAATTTTCGTGATGATCTTGATCAGATAAACCCTGAATTGCATCAAACGCCACTGAGGTTGGGACTGCACAGTCGGCCAGCAAATTTATCGCCTGATGTCGCGCCGTCGTTTTTAATATTTGTCTGATTGATTCTTAATCACTTCGGCTGTGCCTAACTCTGGTTATTATTCACAAATTATATCGAGCGGCGACTCGCGTAAAATGTTAGTCCCATATAACCTACGGTGGAATGTAAAATGTTGTGGCGTATTTAATCAAAGCACAAAATATTTAATTTTGTCTGTTAACTGTGTGATGTTAATACTGGTGTTCAACAATTTATATAAAAAATTGGTCGAAGGTTGTTTCGACAGAACCTCCCTCGCACCTGAAGTACAATAAAACGTATCGAGCATTTTCGAAAAATTATAAAATTTTATTTTTTGATTTTTTTTAATGAAAAACCATATAAGTTGAAATAAAAACATGTATGAAATGTCAAATTAAATATAAAGAAGTATGTTAGGTATATGTTTCAAATGAGTTTTTCCTTTACAAAATTTTGTTATGACGTCATCAACATTTTTGCCTTGCAGCAGTAAGGAATCACGGAATTGTATATCAACTTGGATTGGTGTCGTGTAATATTAATAATAGCAGTATTGTATTCTCAAATTTTCTGGGAAAAGGGAGTGAGGCGTTTCTAATTTAATCAATAAAATAATTTGACTCATTCATTAATATTTTTTAGCCAACTGTAGAAGCAAATCTAAAAAATACGATAAATCACAAGTAAAAACTCGTCATGTTTTGCATATTTTAGGTAGAATTTATTCGACAAAGATCTTGAACTGACGTCATCAATTTTTTGGGGGAATAAATAGATACATTTCAATTAAAAAATTTACCACGCTTACAATAACTTTAAACCGTAACAAAGTATTCGGTTTTGCAGATTCAAAATTAAATTGCGAAATGTTGTTATATGATTTTCATTTTTTTTTTCCAAAAATTTGGAGGTTTCAGGTAGAAACTCAACACGGGTACATAAACTACACGTGCAGGACTAGGTATGTTATTTTAAACAATTTAAAACACATTTACTATGTACAATTTTGAAGTGACGTCATCACATTATTGGTGGGTATGATTAGATAAAGTTTGGTTAGCGCTTTACCATCTACACAATATTCATAATTCACATATGAAATTTGACAACAATCGTTCTAGTAGTTTCGGAGATTATGTGTCTTGTTAGACGGACGAACGAACAGACAAACAGACGGACAGAAGTGGGAGACCCATTTTTACTTCCCGAGCGTAAGCTAAGGAAGTATAGTAATCGAGTCCATCGGACGAATCGCCACTTTTATGTTCTCTGGACGTTTCATGATCCCTAAAGTAAGAAGAAAGTAGTTTCCCGTTTCCGTCTGTCTGTCTAGCGTCCCCATCCAGTTTTATTAGGCCCGCAATCTACGAAACTGCTGGACCGATTGTTGTCAAATTTTTGTTTGTATATTAGAAACATCATGTAGATAATAAACGCTAACCAAAATTTGGCTAGTCCACCAACAATTTGATTATGTTATTTCAAAAAATTATATGTTTATATGATTTAAATGTTATACAGTAATATACTCTTATTCTTGAGTTTTTTTCTTAACCGTCCAAATTTTCGTAAAGAACTCACCACAGTATAATAACAGTTTACCATTAGCGTACGATATCCCGACCGTGGTTCAGTGGGTGCTCCCGCATTCAATGCCATACTTTGTCGTTTGTTTTTTTGACGTCATAACAATTTTTTTTATTGATCAAATTAAGAACGAGTCACCCTATTTTCTCGAAAAGGTGAAAATACGGGGCACATGTTTATATAATAACAATATTAGTAATAATAATTTTAGTGCCCTGTTTTGAGGCGACAAACTCATTCAAATCAAACAAATTTCCACGTGACATTGTTCCGATATATAAAGAAATACTTGAAATTAAGGGTTGTTATTACTGCTGAGAGGCCATTTTTTCCCATTGGTTATCTGCTTTAAAAATATTTTACATTGTCTGTACTTGTGCAATTTGCACAATCCCTTGCAATTTGCGGCCCCACGGTGGAGGGGCTGCGGGGATGTTATTTATGCCGCTGGTTTTTACTTTATAGAGGTTATCACAAAACAAGCATCGCAAAATCTAATTTTATAGTTTTTCAAAGAAGCGGGATTTGTTGGAGTTGTAAATATTTCAAAAGCGAGGGAAGTTTTGTTGCAATAAACTTCGGTCAATTTTTTCGTAGTCAAGGGGATATGACCTATCGAGAAAATATGAAAGCAACTAGTCGTCCGATGGATTCGATTACAATACTTCTTTAGCCTACGAGAATTAAAAAGAAATACTAGGTATAAAATGTCTAGTTTGTAAAGAGTTGAGTCTAAATCTTTTAAACAAAGCTTGATGATCGCATCCTCTATCTAAATAAACTGCATCTTGTGTAAAAGATAAGAATTTAAAAGATAAAATTCTCCTTGAATTAATTCTAAATGGTTTATACATATACCGGGTGTCCCACGTAACACTTTCGGGCGCAATAACTCAGGTACTTTTGAAGGGATTTTGTTCAAAACTTCAACTTGAAAGCAAATATTCCCTAAATCTTGATCATCGACCATCAACGAGATGTTTTTTGATTCAAAAAATTCAGTTTTTCAAACCCGCTGTATGAAATTTTTGACTTTTCCAAAATTACCAAGAGAGATGCTATTGTTATTTCACCTTCCAAAATTTGTTTTTGGTTTCATTTCTTCAAAAATTTTTCTAAAATCGTCAAAATAAAATATGGTACTTTTTGAGGTTTTTTAAAAATGTCAATTTAAAGGAGAAAATTTTCATCTGCGACCATTATTGGTTCAGCTCGTCGAGAACCAAGTCCCAGAATTTTTTGAGAATTTGTATGCAACTTTGTCGAAAGTTAAATTTTTCAAAACAACTAAATTTTTTTACCTTTTCCAAGAATTTTAAAAAATTATCAAAAAGGTACTATTATTGATTTTGGCTTCTAGAATTTAACCTATCTGTGGATGTTATAGCACCCCCACCTTATTCACCCCACCCCGCCACCCTAGAATAAGGTAATGAGAGAGTAAGGGAAACGGGGTGGGGTGAATAGAGTGGGGGTGCTACAACTTGTATATAACGGTGAAACAAACCCAGGATGTTTAGTCTTAATGTTGACATCCTAACGTTAACAAACCGGACATATTCGTGACCACAAAAGTGTAAGTATACCTTTTCTTTATTTATATAAATTGTTTCTAATTTTTGTTTTTTTTTCAGATATTTCCAAACCATGGCTCTACAAAGAAGTTCATCGCCAACGCGCACTGTGGACATTTTCCCACAAGAGGAACTCGAGTCCACCTGCCGAAAATATAGAAATTTCGTCAAAAATTTCGAGAAGCCCGAGGATTTGACGAAAATAATGAGAATCAGAGGAGTTGGAAAGGCGCACCTCCCAGGAATTATTTCTGGAAATTTGAGGCTCAAACAGACACTAATAGGTAGACATCGACCATAGGAATGACCTTTTGTATGTTACATTTCTTTTAGACTAGATATTTGATATATTCATTTTGTTTGCAGATATATAATGTTGTTTTGATTTGTTTTATAAATTTTATATTATTACAATTTTATAAATTAAATTATT